TAACAAAATTGTAAAATATTTTACATTTCACGCGGCAGGCAAACGCAGCAGCGTACAAGGTACGATACTGTACGTTGGGACGCACATAGTTTATACAGTACGGTAGTGTAAATTGCTCTGTTTTGCTAAATTATCACCATTCTTTAAAACTCCTGGGTAGGCTAGGCCATTTTCGACTTACGATATTTTCGACTTACGATGGGGTCGTCGTAACGCATCTCCATCATGAGTCGGGGACTACCTGTACTCGTATCGAATGTTTCTAAAAATGAAAAACTGGAGAACCCGGAGAAAGATCCATGCGACCACGGGGAGAACGTGAAAATTCCAAATTTACGGGCGTCAGGGTCGGGTTGGCACCCACGACCTCCTGTATACCGGGCAAGGTAGTTAACACCTCGCCACCATGGCGCTCCTGCCATGTGCATGCACACAATGGGGAACTGGCCAAACACCCTGATGTAGTGCTTTGCTGAAAGGGTATTGAGACTTGGGGAGAAATTCCTGAATATACTCTTAGGTTTTTTCGGTAAAGTTCACGTAGGTAAAATAAATAATAATAAAAATATAAATATAAATAAAATTATAAATCACAAATAATAAATCACAATTTATAAAAAAAAAATATTTATATTATTATTTATTATTATTTATTTTTACCTACGTGACTTTACCGAAAAAACCTAACCTTGCAGTCACGAAAGCTTCAAATCTAGAATTCCTGAATATGAGAAAGGAACAATATCATTGATGCTGTAGAACAGTGGCACCGTGATTCAGGCACTGTGCTATGAACCCAGCGAACTTTAGTTCGAATCCCGGCCATGGCGAGAATCAGCGGTGAGTGATACCAATAATTCACTGCTGGCTCGCACACAAGTGACAGTTCCAAAAGTGGCACTTAACACTTAATTCGACAAAGCCTCTCTCAGCCCATACAGTGTGAAGCAGCAGCTAGGACGGAGGTGGGGGTTGGTTAAAAATAGCTAATTGATTCTGGTATTAAGATGAGCCCTGTTGCTGTCTTTAACTAATCTAGACTTAGTCAAGATTTCAGTCGCTTACTGTGACAGGGAACTCAGAAAGTTAAAGAAGATTCCACCCATCGCGTTGTGTGCCTGCTCGTTGCTTGGAGAGGAGGCTTTTGTAGGGCAATGTTGAAAAGAAACAACAACACATCCCTTTCGTTGTTGTATTGTAGTTGTTGATCTGCATCTACAGCAGCCATACGGAAGAAGAAGACTGCTCGATTGTCAGGTCGCGCATGGTGGGGTGATATGCGGGTGCTCTCAACTCTTCTAAGAGGGTTGTCTGGACAGCGTGGAAGAGTACGCAAACCATACCCTCGAGGCGGGCTTGAGCAAGTAATTCCAGGGCTGCATCTTTACCTTTGCATCGTAAAGTGTATTAACTGGGGCATGGTTCTGGCTACTTACCAGCCACATGTGGACCGTGCCTGCCCTTTATAGGTGCTCACAAACATCACTTGCCCCAACATTCTATATGGTTGGCAATACGGGGGATATTTGTATACCCTGTATTTTACGATTTTTTTCACTCTTACTATAATACAGTGCTTCCCAGCAGATATGGAGTTGGGAGCAAGGTCACATGAGACAGGTAAATATCCCAGGTGCATTGCCGACTGCACGGCACTGCTGCGTTGCTAGGGCTCAGCAGAACCGCTGTATAATTCGTAGTGAACAACGTGTGATGTTGTAATTGGGAAGACTGTGTCTCCGTTACTGGATTAAATAATAGCCAATGATTTAAACTGCCTTGCAGATTAGGGACGGCATGTTTCGAGTATTTGGCTGCTATACATTTCCACATAAGCCACGCCGTTGGGCTTTCACTTGTGACCAGGTCGCTTCTGAAAAACAGCTATATAGCTCAATGGGCCTTACTTGGTAATATAAAAAAATAGTTTTTTAAATGTTAGTTATGTCCACTGATTTACATTTTGTCCATGGCCATGCTCCTGGTTTCTGCAAGCGGCAAGTTGCACAATCGATTAAATATTTAGATGCCCTTTTTATGTACGTAGTAAAGGAATACTTGTAAATATTGAGCAGCGGGACCTGGAATAGGAATTTGTACAGGTCAAGAGCTGTTTATGCAAAGGAACATATGCATGAGCCTGATCCCAGCGATGGCGAGCAATATCTGAATTTGTTTCCTTAACCAATCCACACTAACCAGCGTGGTGAAGTATAGGGGAGCCACAGTGCGAGATATTAACTACCTCGTCTGTTATGCACGAGGTCGTGGGTTCGACCCCGACCCTGATGCCTGCTTAATATTTGGAGTTTGCATGTTCTCCCCGTGGTTGCATGGATTTTCCTCCAGGTTTTCCATATTTTCCCTCCATATATAGAAACATGCGTTTATAGGTAAGATTCGGCTGCTGTCAATTTCCACGTGATAAGCCGCTTCGTTAGCTATCATTTGTGGCCAGGTCACTTCTAAAAAATGGCTACAGGATATAAACGCAGTGAGCCTTACCTGGTAAAATAAAAAAAAAATTGCGTTCGTAAGTTCATAGTCAACAATCTCCATAACCGAGATAGCATGGGTGGGGGCCTTCATCTAGAAGTGGATTATCAAAGAGCTGTGCATTATTATTTTACATGTATCCTTTACACAAACCTGCCAAGTACTGTATCCATTTAATACACAATGCAGAGCAAAAAAGTCCAAGTGAATAGGCATCATTTACTTTTAGCCGATTAAAACTTAAACATATTTAGAATTATGTTTAAATTTTGATTTAAAGCTTTCGTGACTGCAGGGATTCATATTCGTGGTTCTTTCGGTAAAGTCACGTAGAAGGGAAATAAAAAAAATAAAAAACAAAAAAAATTCTCACGACGTTTTGACTGCAACACAAACAATCATCATCAACACAAACAATCGTCATCACCTGATGATGATTGCTTGTGTTGCAGTCGAAACGTCGTGAAAATTTGTATTGTTTTATATTTTTATTATTTCCCTTGTACGTGACTTTACTGAAAGAACCAAGAATATAATTCTGTTCATGTTTCTATTTAGCTTGCCAAAAGTGTAATTTATTTGTGCGTAAGTGTTATGCCACTTATTTGCTATTTTGTACACGCGAGTTGAAGTGCTAAACCATGAGGGGATCATCTACCATACACAAACCCGTAACTATATCCACTGTTATTGTGTTGAGCAATGCAATGCTGTTTTACTAATTGCGATTGACAAATCATTAAATGCAAATCTGTTTAATCGGCAGCAATAGGATGGGTCTGGTTTGTTTAAAGTGAGTTTAATTCTACGGGGAGACGGGGTATCTGCGTGTGTACACATTATTGCATTTGTTGTTAACATCTTCGTGGCAAAACAAGCCTCTTGTGCATTCGCTGTTAATTACCGTTTGTTGAAAGAAATTGCATCTGATGCATCGTCAGGCGGGGTATTTGGAAGTACAATGCAGAAGTTTGTGTGTGAAATTAAAAGTGCAAGACATTGCTGACAGATGGGCTGACAGCATTCTTTCAATCAACATGGCAGCATTGAAAGAATGCTAACGAGTGGAGAATTATTCATAATGACGGTAGTTTATTGTATTATAATGTCACATTGCATTTGATTATGGTTATGAATGTTACCTCTTTAGACCACATAATGACAAGCCATAGTGAGTGTTTTAAAAAGTTTTCATATCGCAATACCAATTAGTAACTTTTATTAAACTTGATTTGAAGCTTTCGTGACTACAGGAATTACTCTTTGGTTCTTTCGGTAAGATCACGTAGAAAGAAAATAAATTAAATAATACGACGTTTCGATTGCAACGCAAGCAGTCGTCATCAGGTAGAACTAAATTTGAGAGAGAGACAAAACACAGACACGGAGACACACAGACAGACACACAAGCAGAGAGAGACAACACAGAGACACACAGAGAGAAACACACAACATAAGATACACAGAGACCCAATGCCTCTGTGTCGTGGCCTTAAATAGAGAGGGGGGGGGGGGCAGAGAGAGATGTGGGTCTGCTGGAGCAGAGAAATTAGCATGTCAATGAGAGAGTTGTGTGGAAATCCACCCCGAAGCGGTCGGGGGAGAGAACGAGCAAATGGACCTATGAGAGCCTGGTAAATTTTAGAGAGAGAAATAGGCAGTTTGAGTCCGTGTATGCCCCATGCATTTTCGATACGACACTTTCCTGGTTATTCACGACGGATACGTTCCGGAGATGCTCGTGAACACAGCAAATTTGGCGGATAATGATATTGGCCTATGCAAACGTATCTTGAATTAATTACGTTGAATAAATACATAAGCTGTTAAATGATGCAATTTATCACAACACAAATACATAAACATTGGTTAGAATAAGCGTAACGTAAATTTAAATACATATTAAAGAATCACACTTCATAAATTAACTTACCTTAAATTATGACGCTGCTGCGCATAATTATTTTATTTCATCCTTTTCATTTCACCACTTTCTCACATCACATTCTCTCTCATCACTTTCTGTCATCACGGTCTTTCTCTCTCCCCCAATGCAGTTGTGTAAAGTTCCAGATGCGAAACTGTATTCTATATAAACCAAGAACTATAGCCATCCTCCATCCACCAAATCATTAAGGCCTCCCCAAACCAAATAATTAGTTATTCTTGTGCCTGGTACGTATTTTAAGCTGAGTTGACCAAAGGGAAGAACAAGCCAGATTTAGATGCCACCTGCCCTTGAGGTTGTACCTGGTTTTGAATTGAATCCAGGTTGCTGGGAGCAACAGACGCGTATATTATTAATACTAATTTTACAGGCGCTTTGTCAAGCCCACTATGATGTGAAGGTTTATGCGGACATCATCGCTTGCCACTGATGTGAGGAGTTGCGCCTTGGATTCGAACTCGGGTGGCCGGCGTGTCAGCGCAGTGCGCAAGCCACCGCACCGTTAGCTCTGCAATACGACACCGCGCGTCTCAATCTGTGCCTCCTTTTCTTCCAGACGAAGTTGTTGTGCGCTCTGCTTGAGCCACGTGCTTCGAGGGGGCCGCCACTGGAACAGCGCGGGGGCGCGTTGGCATGGGGCGAACGTTGCCATAACGAAGGGCGGCGGTGGATTCGGAGCGCCCCTCGTGCACGCGACGACGGCGATGTCTGCCCGCTCGTCTGACGCCGAGGTGGAACGAAGCGTCCTGGAGGAGATGGATGAGAACGGCATCATCCGAATGGCGCAGTTCCCCGACGAGTTTGAGTATCAAAACGTGTGTTGTTGTTTTTTCTCTTTCTAAATGTTATTTTACATTGGACGCACGTGTTATTTAAATGATCGCGCCGCTGTTTAAAAGGAACGCACCCCGCTATTTGAAGGGAATGGAATGGTTGGTACAATGGTTGCGTAGACCAGATTCGCAATCCAGGGGTCGCCGGTTTGATTTGGCAGTGTGTGGTGGAGTGAAGTGTGGGTATTTCCACCTATCTTCAAGATGAAGGACCAGCGGTGAGTAATAGGCTAAAATACGTTATTGTGGGGCTCTCTTGGACTCCCTCTAGTGGGTTCTGTTTTGCCAACAATGGTGTGAGCAAACTTCCCCCCAGGGCTTGACCCTATCATTGTAGAATTCATAATGTTCTCGTAATACTACGGTGCAATAACGCATTGCATTTATGAAGGGTCTCATTGTGATCACTTGTGTGGGTCGTTTCAATGGTAGAGGCCACACCGCCAGGGGAAACATCGATGATCGGTAAGGGGGAGAGGAGAGGAGAGCTGGGAAACATGGGCGGGAGGTCGTTACGTAGTGGAGATGTCACTCGTCAGAGGCGAAAGAGAAACACATGAAAGGTCTTAAGCCTGGAGTTCAAGAGGGACTGTGCGGAAAGGCATTCCAGACGATATGAAGTAGAAGAAGCCACTTACCACAGATTCGATCCCAGGATAATTGATTCTTACCGTTTGGTTGTATTCCTCCCTCCCCCACCCCGAACAATATTTTCTTGAACGTACAAAATGTGTAGCAATACTCCAGGGGCAGAAGTGGAGAAAGACACAAACAAACAAACACAAAAACATGCCTTCAGGCAAGCTGTGTCGTCAGTGTAAATGTCAGATAAACACAGCTATGGCGAGTAGTGTGCGGGCGATAAGAGGAACAGTTCCGTGTTAAACTGTGTGAAGAAAATGGAGCGAGTTCATAAAATATCAATATTCTTAGGTTGTTGTTTTATATATTTCACAATTTATAAAATTCCACTTTCTTGTGATCAAACCATTCATAATACCATCAATCCCAGCGTATCTCAGTAGCGAAGCAGTGCGAAGGCTGGATGGTGCTTTGATGGGCCACCACCACCATGTACAAACAGGGTGCCATCAGGCTACTGCGGAGCTACGTGGTGGGGCAGCAGAGGGCTGTGTGTCAAAATACTTTGTTGCGATGTGGTGTGATGTGCTTCGATGTTATTATCACGTCTTCGCTGCCTGCCTTCACCAACCCATCCTGAGCAGCGTAGTGAAGTATGGTCAGATAACCTCCACTACTCACAGCCAGCGTGGTGAGGTCCTCATCCAGCAGCGGACTGGCACAAGGTTCCGTACATGTGGAAATATCCACTGTGCAGTGTACCGAGCATGTGAGTGAAACTGGATATTTAAATGATTATTTTTGGCTGAACAAAATTCAAGCTCACCTCGCAAAAACACGTGTTCATTTAGCACTCTGCCCAGTAGAGGGCATATGTGTTCTTCGCGGGTGAGAAAATGAGACGAGAAAAGAGGCAAATCTAAAGTGCTGAGATTTTGTTCAGCATTCATTGGCATCTCACCTTATTGTCATGCACGTTTTATGGTCTTAGCAGCTTGATATTAAGTAGCTTCCATTGGCATAGGCAATTACCGTTGTCATTTCATGCACACGAGAAACATTCATCTCTAATTTGATTGTGAAAAAAATATCACGCCTGGATTTCGCCACAAAACAGCATGTATGCTGTTATTGCCGTTGTTGTTTTGACATGTACTCTTACGTAAAAACATGCTTTGTTTCACACAGAGGGTGCTTGACAGGGGAGATGATGTCATTGAGGAATTTTATACACCTGGTGATGAGCTGCCAGATGGCGACCCATCCAAGCACGGGTACGACGGAGACTTTTATACCGACGAGCCGAGCCTCACGGCCAGTGACATCCCAGACTCGGCAAATTCGTGGGGCCCTCCTGCACAGCAGAATGGTAAGTACCACGTGGGAAATTAAAGGGGAGGGCGGTGGGGGTGGAGGAAAACGTCGTGTTTTGTTTTTGACTGATTTACGTTGTGGATGCTGTGTAATGGCGAGCACGCTAAACTTGAAATCCACTGGTCATCAGTTTAGTCTCCTGGCATGGCAGTTGAAATAATGGTGTAAGTTTATTAAATTGCCCCCACACCCACTTCTGTCCATCTAGGGGTTTGTTGGGGAGACCACGGTTAGTTTATTTGCAGATTGCGTGCGGTGCAGTAAAGTGTGGGTACTCTCACCTTTTCCAAGACGTCTGGCCAGCGTTGACAAATAGACCAAAATGCTCTTGAGTGGAGGCCCTTCTGCTAGCAGTAACATCAGCGAGTAATTGCAGGGCTGCAACTTAACCTTTAGTGAACGTTCCTGGGTGCCTAACAAAGGTCAAATCCAAATGGCTGCTTTGCTCCAGTGCTCATGTCCATTCGTGACCATTGGATATTGCACATTTTTTTATGGCAAGAGCTACTTTGCCAATAAAATGAATGCGCATCAGTGGAGATACTTATGCCACCGGAGTATTTTGTTGGTAAAATAATATTTGACCAACATGGAATGGGGAATGCATTCATGCAGCAGTGAATTAACAAAGTGGTCTAAATTCTTTAAGATTCACATCGAATAGGCCAACCTTAAGTGGCAAACTCCATTTTAACTTATTAAAAAAATTAATTTGAAAGTATTTTAAAACAATATAGAACATCAATTAATATTAGGATTATCTGGATACATCTCCCGGTATTGCAGACCATACTCAACAGCACCTTCGGGTAGGCCTTGCACCATACATTCCAAATGTACAAATTATTTTCTTCACTTATCTTACATAGATTTGTTTTATCTCACTTTGTTCCAAGGCACTTTACAGCGATTATACAATTGTACATAGGTCGATGGGAGTTGAGATAAAATGTGGAGTTATTCAAAGTGGTGGTGTAGTTATGGTGACACTTATGAGAACAGGTGGGAGAGGTTAAGGAGTGGTTGGGGTTGGTGTAGTGGTAGTGATAGGGGTAGACGCAGGCCTGGTCATAGCTGGGAGGACAGGAGCGGGGATTAGCAGAAGCAGAATGGGCTAGGGCAGGGGTCGGAATCCAAAATGACAAGAATAAATATTTTTTATCGAAATCGGTAAAAAAACCTCGATATTTCAAGAGCGGCAATGCATGTGAATACGAGACGGTACTTAATAAATAAAGTCACCAAGCAGTCCTTAAAGAGCTGTACGCGGCTCCAGAGTCGCAGATCGCCGACCCCTGGTCTAGGAATAAGAAGTGGGTTGTTTTAAGGGAGGAACGGAAGCAGGGGAGTGAAGCCGATTGTGTTGTTGTGCAGAGCGATGGGCGAGTCGGCGGAGGCGCTCGAACACCACCGGCGGCCATGGTGGCAGCCGGAAGCCATCGCTGCAGGAGTTTGTGGAAGCGGAGGACGCTCTGGGAGGCGCCCACGGGAGCGCGGAGGAGCAGCCAGACCTGCCGTACGACCGCTCGCTCATGAACGACAGCCTGGCCCAGTGGCAGGAGATGGAGCACCTCCTGGAGGTGTACAACAAAACCCTAGATGCCAGTGAAGATTTCTCCGATGGACCACACAATGCTGGCGCGGCGGACTTCCTCGGCTCTGGGCACGAGTCGCACTTTGAAAACTCTGAGGAGACGTACGGGAACACCGGGAACCTGCTGGGGGACACCATGCACTTTCCCCGAGACTCGGACGTGCAGGGTGTGTACAACTTGGAGGACGCGCGCGAAGCAGTGGGTGCGGGACAGCTGGACGGGGGTGCGGAGCTTCGTTGGGCGGGCGCGCCTCGGGAGAGGATGGATTTGAACAGGCATCGCCTGTCGGAGGAGTTTCAGCGCGACGAGATCCACCCGAGCAGTTTCATCGCCGCCGAGATCATGCCGGACTTGAACGGGGAGAGTGCGGACGAAAGAAACAGCAGAGTTAGCGAACCCTCACAAAGGAGCGACCACTCGTCGAGGCTGCGTAATGTGAATAAACAACAGGACAGATGGCTCGAGGGAGACGCAGACTACTCGCCACAAAATAGGCACGGTGTTGGCAAAACGCCGGCTGGACTGATGTCCACACAGCACAAAGGGACGTACGTGCAGAGAAGCCCGCTAAAGGCCGACCATGGGCTAAACGTGATTTACAATGCACAGGACGACCATCAGCACGTTGCAAGATCGCCGAACTCGAACGCCACGCTGGCAACTCCGCAGATGGTAACGGAAACACCCGGCAGGTCGAGGCGCTCAAAGCCGTCGCTTATGGAACCGCGGGGTCACGTGAAGACGCCGAATCGGTCACAGAGCTCGAGAGCGTCCGCTTCGAGGTCTGGTCACACGAAAACAGCTTCCAACGACAGAATTGGCTCCAGGTCACCGAGTCCTATCGGAACCGCGCACAATGCACGAGCCTCCCGCTCCATAAGCCCCGGCCGGTCTCAAAGGCAGCTAAATTACCCACTTCCCGACTTGTCCAAAGTTGGACCCAAGGTTAACTTTCCCAGGCAAGGCCACGTCTACCAGAATAAAAGGGCATCACTCGGGGAGGTCGAAACACCGAAATCCGCGCGGTCGCCGGCTGATGTCGTGCGCAGGGTCCTGGCGGATTCGGATGCTGCGCCGTTGTGTGAAGGTCAGAGTTCAAGGGTTGTCACTTCTGACCCCGCGACAGACTTGGTGCACCAATTGCAGGTGAGAGCTTTAGTGAAGAATTACAAATGTGATTGTTTTTTTTATATATATGATTTTAAGAAGCTTCAAAAATGTCAGTGCTGCATCATGCTTTCTGATTAAATAAGTTGACATTTAATACTGCTGGATGGATAGATGCAGGGGGATTAAAACATCTTACCAATCTTAATCAACTTCCATGCCTGGGAAATTTAATTGGGGACATACATAAGGATTCCAAGTCCAGAGTGCTAATCATTATACCAAGGCAGCATCCCTTTTGCCAAAAACTAATAAAGCATACTTATAAAACCATCCTGCTTGCATTTATTACCACATTCAGTTATCCTTAGTGGATAATTGAATGTGATGATTAAAGGAAAATTAGTTGGTATGTTTATGGTGATTATTATTGATGGTGTTGTAAGTGGCCATGGATTATTCTTTTTTTGACCATGTTTATATCTATTTTTTATTCTGCAGGAAGATTATGACCGGTTACTTACTAAGTACGCTGAGGCTGAAAACACCATTGACCAGCTACGACTTGGAGCAAAGGTCTCTGCAACAACAACAAAAATATCACGTTGACTGTAAACTGAACAAATGTGTGCCGATTCAAGTCTCTACTACAGATGTCTGTGTTGTATGGTCATTTATTTAAGTGATCCATTTAAAGTGGTTACACGTGGGTTTATCGTTGTCATTGAATTATAGTTGTCATTGAATTGCTGTTCTAAACACAGTAGAATGATGTCGGGAAAAGGGGCTTAATTCTAAAAGATAGCTTCACGATTCAATTGCACGGATGTTGTGCTCGAAAATAGGATCATTGGGCTTGTTGTATCAAAGAATGATAGTGTAATATTTATTAGAGCATTTGACATAGAGTACAAGAGCTTACCCTGCTTCCCTTGGGGTTTTTGCTATTTTCCGCTGTGGCTCCGGACGATATGTACTCATTCACATTTCATTTTGTCCATCACAGGTGTCTCTGTATTCGGATAGTCCTGTGCCCAGACAAGTGGTGCAACAACAGCGAGTGCTCCCCCATTCCAGTCAGGTCATGACCTTACAATTCCCACACTCCCAGCAAGCAATGCTGCATAACACCAATCCTGCGACGTCGGAATGGGCACATTCAACAGCACAGTTTGGTGAGTCGGATATTTGTTGCTGCTTTTATTTTATAATTTACACTAATATGGGACTATCGTTTTTAATTGAAAAAGAGCGGATGATACACTGTAACTTGATAACAAATGTCATTTTAATAGCTTCAAAAGGTCAAAAAGTCTCCCACGTGTTCGCCATCGTTGTCAACACGTGTCTGGAATCTTCTCCAGGTGGTCTCCAGAGCCCGGAGGCACATTTCTTGTGATATTATTGCAAATTCTCTGAAGTGTTAACATTTTTTTGAAGCAGCCTGTGTGTGTGTGTGTATATATATATTCGTTGCAAATTACAAGGCTGCTGCCCTGATGTCAAGCATACTGGACTCGCAATACAGAAGTTGCCGTTCTAACAGTGGTGCAAGGTTTTATTTGTATTCTCTCACCTCCGCACACCCCGCAGTACAAATGGGTGCGTCACAGTCGATCGGCAGGTTGTGTGTGGTGGAGTAAAATATGCGTACTCCCACCTCTTGCAAGATATCTGGCCAGCGTGGAATAGTAGGCCAAATACCCTCAAGAGGGGCTCTCCAGAGCTCTCTCTAGTGGAGGCAGTTCTGCCAGCCTGAGCACAACATTGTAGGGATGCAGCTTTACCTTTTACACTTTGCAAAGCAGCCTGCAATGGTGGTGTTATACGTTTACAGCCTTTCATTTGGGGACATTTTTTCCGAGTTTAAATACTCTTCCAGGTGATGGTCTAGCAATGTGTCAGGGTAACATTCAGAACTTATTTTGTTAATATCTTGATGAAGGTGCTCCAGTGTCAAAAACATTATTTTCACTTTGTGGGAAGCCAAGAACAGTGATATACGTGGATTGGCCCCTGCTCTAGGATTGTGAAAGTTCTGCTATCGGTCATCAAGCAGTGGATTGATCATGGCTGTTGCTGCTGCTGATCCAGGAACTACTAATTGAGGATGTGCACCACCCACCAGCAAATGCTCACTTAAATATATCATAAGAGACCAAACTTTGTCTCTACATGAAATTTAAAAAACATTTTTTTTATGGGGCAAATGGCCCATCACCCCATACGTGTTTTGGCCCAAAGTTTTTGCTGCTGTGAATTATTTTAGTTTTTTATACCTAAAGAATATATGAGCTGTGGTTAAAGCGGCTGACGTTTCACTCCGCCTGCTGGGAACGGAGCGTTGGACATCGTGTGGAACAACAACGCGTAGTGCATCTCGAATACACATCGCACCCAGTAGAGTGTGTATTCATCGTGTTCTTTTACAAACACACTCCCCACAGCTCCTTACACGCAGCCAGGAGAGCATAAGGTCGTGAATGAGCACGGGGCACAAGGCAGCACTGGTAGTTTCGGCAGGGCCCCACAGCCTCCCTTGGATTCCCTTGATCCCAGCATCACCTCTCAGCTGGAGACAGAGCTGGCCAAGCAGGTGAAGAAATTCAAGGAGCAGGTGAGCGACTCGGCACGCACAGCGATGATCATCAATGCTGTAGATGCCACCCAGAGGCAGATGTAGAAACTTCCTAAATGGAAGCCATTCAGAAATGTCAAGCTTTTTTTTAAATCAGGCCCTCCATGAATAATACGCAAAATCACGTTCAGTGTATTTATATCAATAAATACAAATAAAACACCAATTGTATTTGTCTTAAGAAGGTTGTGATCCATCCCCATGAGCCCCCTGTCTGCCCAGTCGTTGCCTCCGAACTCTCACTGCCCTATCTTGCTGCCCCTTCTCTTCCGCTGTGGAGTTTGTATGTTTTCTTGTTGTGCACGAGTTTCCTCTGCGTTCTCCCGTTGTCTCCATTAGCTTGAAGTTAACGTGCAATGCAACACCCAATGTTGAAGATTTACCAGTAAATTATCTAATTGGGATTACACATAGCTGCAAAGTTGGCAGGACCCTCCTGAAAAAGAGTTTTGAGACTCAGAGATGTTTTACTACAATAACAAGCATAATAACAACAACAACAATAAAATATGAACTTGGTAAGAGCTGAAGGAATGGGATTCCAAAGCCGAGCAGTGTGAACATAATGAGGAGATGTTATTTATTGCTCTTTGAATTTACTTTTCTGAAGTTATCGCCATTCTTTTTGCAGCCCTTGCAGACCTTTCCTCTCCATGGCCCAGAAGTCGATCTCTTTTTCATTTTAGAGCTCCCAAATGGCTAAATTAGCTATGGTAAGGTTCTTACAATATCCCTCCACCCTGGCTGATAGTCTATGGTTGATAATATATTCAATAATCATTAATTTAATTTAATCAGTGTTGGCAGTGCTATGAATTATACAACTGCTTATAGGCCTAGTGGTGACTATGCGAGTCATTTTATTTACCTATTAAAGCCTCCCTGAGTCTCAAGGCTCCTGTTCGGGAGGGTACCGCATTGGGATATTTGGCCAATTTCATTCATGAGCATATGGCACGAGGGAGGAACAATGCATACTCAGAGAAAACACACACATACAACGGAATATCGTTCAAAGCTCTGCGCATATAATATATATTTAATCTATTGCAGTACTGCACACAAGCTAAATAAATGTAAAGAAATAATTTGCAATTTCCTCGCCAGCTGGCATGCAGTGCTGCAGATGTAAATGGCGATGTTTATGATAACATTATCTACAATATATGCAATATTTTACACATGATACAATTTCAAGCCTCGAGAATGTGTATATAATATGGGAGCCACGGTATCTGGTATGCAGGAGGTCGTGGGTTCTATTCCAACCATTACGCCTGTATATTTGGAGTTTGCATGTTTTCTCCGTGGTCGCGTGGATTTTGCTCCGGGTCCTCGGGGTTTTTCCTTCCACGCTTAGAAACATGCGTTTAGAGTATTATGCTGCTATACATTTCCACGTGATAATCCATTTCTTTCAGCAAAAATGTGTGGCCAGTACGCTTTTGAAAAATAGCCGTATAGCTCAGTGGGCCTTTCCTGGAAAAACTATATTTTTTTCGTTTACAATATGTGGCAGGCAGCAGAGGGCAATACTGACAAACGCAATGCTGTAAGTATAAGGTGGTGATATGGCCGAGCCGTAGCGCGTTTCGTCCACTTGTTTCATGGTTTGAATCCAGTGGCTGCCCTGATTAATACTGCGGGTTTAATACACTTGATAATGCTGCATGCCTTCTGCTTCACTCACAGTGCACGCGAAAGATGCCTTGACGTAATTCACATTAGTAGGCCATTGGTGTCAGGATCTACATTTCCCAATTCGAAAATTAACCGCAATTTACTCAAATTGGGATTACGCGTAGCAATTAACGCTCCCTGCTGGCAGAATGATGCCCCAAGTCGCTTCTTGCAAATGAGAATCGAGCTGCTCTCTTGAGTCCTTACCTCGTAAAAAAAAAATACATTTAAAAGTTGACGTACTTTTACGTAATGTCTGTTGCTCCCCCACGTTTACGCTCACCGCCTTCACCAACCTGCACTGACCAGCGTGGTGAAGTATGGTCGAATAACTCCCGTGACCTCTGGTGTGAGGATGCCCTCATCAAGCAGCGGATCGACACAAAGGGCTCTACATGTGCATTATGGTGCAGGGAATACATCGCACACGACGAAGTGATTGAAAGGCGTAACGTATGCACATGCGTTTAGCCGAGCACGGGGATTTATAAGCAATTTCACAATGTTTGAGCAGACCCCGCAGAGAGGCGAAATGAAATTGTACAATGAGCTGTTGACGCGGTGGATGTATCTCAAGATTCATCTCACGTCATCTCACTGGGTCTTTGTTGTAAAATACAATCGTGCCCTTTGGCGCAACTTTCCACACTGCGTACACGCTGCTGGGAAAAGTATTCGAGAGGAGACATCAATCCGGCTGTGTTGAGACAATCTTGTGACTCTTGCCACGATGTGCCCACTGCCGTAGCTGAACAAAACAGCTCTTAGCGATAGCCAGATAGATAGAGATATAGATGTATTTAAAGCACGGTACAAAAAAATATGTTGGTGAATAAAAATACACAAATCATTTGCAGATGAAGGCCTCCCCTTGCTGGGTTTGTCATTTTTGGGGGTTATTTGACCATACTTCACCATGCTGGTTATTGTGGGGTCGTGAAGAGAAGTACCCAGGCCCAGTTGACAGTGATTTTAGAAATAGCCGCGAAACACTGTGCCACTGGTCTACTGATTATTGACTAGCATCTTTGAATGCTGACATTTCATTAAGTCACTGGGGAAGGGCGGTGGAGGAGGCGGGAGGTGTACGCTTATTAAATACACTGCACAGCAACCACAAATATAAACACACCAACATGATGCAAAACGTTCCGTTACTTAGCAATGCAGCCTTCAAGCACATGCCATAAGTCACTGCTGACCTGCCCTTTCTGGACATTCGTGAAGAAGAGCTCTATAGCAACATCGGATTCTTCCAGTATAAGTAAATGTTCTGATTCTGGTAATCTTACCACTACGATGCTACTATCTCTGAGACGTGTTTTCGGGTTGGACCGTGTGTTCTCAGATAGCAATGCAGCACAACCGCGAAAACCTACCCAGTATCACTACACTAATGCAGCAATACACAAGTGCCAATATATGCTGGCTGATTCACAGTGGACGTCAAACGTTTGTTGGCGTCATTCACGAGAATGGGTCATTGTGTGCCGGTGTCAGGGTCCAAATTTGCCAAATTCGCAAGTTTCCCGCAAGTTACTAAATTGGAAATAGGCGTAGCGATCATCGCCCCCTACTGGCAGACTGATGCCCCAGGGTCACTTTTGCGAATGTGTCTAACCCTGGCCTTTTGAGTTCTCACCTGGTTCAACAAAATACACGTGAACTCAACTTTATACTTGCATACTCTTAGGTTTTTTCGGTAAAGTCACGTAGGCAAAAATAAAGAAAAATATTATTGATATTATTTATTTTATTATTTATTTTTACCTACTTGACTTTACCGAAAAAACCTAAGAGTATGAATCTTTGCAGTCACGAAAGCTTCAAATCTATAATTTATACTTGCAATTCTGCCTGAATTCATATCACTTTGTTTTGCTGTACAAATATTCGTGTAAAATGTGCCGCCATATGTGCCGGCTCATCATTAGCAGGCAGGCCTCACAAGTGATGAAAGAAACCTGAAGAACAATAATTATTTTATGCTCATTATGAAGATTATCCACCCCCTGTCCCCTCCCCCCCTCGCCCCTCCTCCTCGTACCTCCCCACTTCCCCCACCCCCATAGGCTTCTGTGCCTTACCAATATACTTGCCCATAAGCCACCACTGAAGACCATCCTTACCCGAGTAATCATACCATTGCAATCACCACAATACCGTCTCTTTCTCTGCTGCCATGGCAGGTGGACATCTTCCAAAGGATGCAGAAAGCTGGACAAGTGACCCAACAGGAGCAGTTTCAGGTACATGTGAAACGACCGAATCACTGCCCATCACTGCTCTGACATCACGTTAGCTCTCAAAAGCTCTCAGAAGCTAAGCAGGGTCGAGCTTGATTTTTGCGTGGATTAGAAACTACTAAGTTGGCGAGGAGATGGCAGTCCCACAATGGATTCTGGAATCTATCTGTACGGAGGTTTGAGTGTGTTACCTCCTCGTATGTGTCGGTTTGGACTGGGTTCTCCAGTTTCCTCCCACATTAAACCAAACAATCGTTAATGAAATCGACCAAGCACTCAAAAGAGTGAGATTAAATCCTGGTCGATGGTTGACTAAGCCCATCATTATCCCACGTTCATAAAACTAATACAACTTTTTGGGAAATGAATCGTGGTCCTTCTATATAAAGACTATCCCGGGCCACAGGAATGTAACATTTCCACCACTTGCTTAGTACCACCAACAGACATGAGCACGATCACTTTATTCATTTGAGCAGAGATACATTTTGACTCTGACTTATGAGTAAATATTAAAAGCAGGGCATATCATGCAACGAACAATATCTAACAATACTGAAAGAGGGGAGAGCCTGACTTATTGTTATGCAACTGATACCGCTGAGACTTACAGATTTCCCACGACAGCTGCTTCAACAATAGGATGTCCTGGAAAACTTACCTATACTCGTTGCACTGGATATACTGAACTGAGATAACAAACTTAGCTGCAATGAAGTGTGGTAAACAAGTCAGGGTATATTTAGTTCACTGCTGATGCATTGGGTGCCTAAACAAATATTGTGCTAAGTTGTGACCTTATTGAATGACGCTAACAGAGGAAGTTTAATTAAAGTGTGCAGTGAGATGGATGTGTGTGTATGTACGTGTTTGCGTGTCGGGAGCGATAGTTGAGTGGTTAGCGCGCTGTGCTATGAACCCGGCGACCCGAGTTCGATTCCTGCTCATGGCCAACACCAGTGACAAATATTTTAACTGGTCCTGCCCCCCCTCCCCCTAGGTCGACTCAACCTCAAATTAGTGTGGTGTGTAAACATCGCCACTGGGGAAACAACGGCGGTCGGGCGTGGTGCTGGCCACCCATCCCCTCGTGTACCCTGCCGGCCTTCATAGGTGCTCGCTAACAGCACTTGCCCCAACAGTCTGTGAAGGCTACATGGGGGATCTTTGTCTTTATTTGCATGTACCCCCACAGACTTACCAGCGGCTCCGCGAGGGTCAGGATGTCCTGGAGCGTGGCTACATGGCCGCCAAGCAGCAGCACCAGATGGCTCAGAGAAACTCCGCTGGCAGTGGAGAATTTGATGCCAACAGGTTCTGTGATTCAGCCAGCCAGAGTGCACTTCCTCACCCCACGCTTTAATATTCTTTACATTTGAAAATTCAGCACTCGAGGCGGAAGGGTGGCTCAGAGGTCAGAGCGCTGAGTTGGCACTGTTCAGATTCTGGGTTTGATTATGTTGGTTGCACTCTTTCTCTCTCTCTCTGATGGCATGTTCTAGTCATGCGAGTTGACTTTCTTGCAGCTTGTCTGAGATGGTCTATTGTCTTCTTCCTCATCTCTCCATGTCTGACCTAAGTCAAATGTTGTCATTCCTGAGCTCCGTATCATCCTCATTTTTTGTGGTGCTCATCATTCATCTCTTTTCTAGAGTCCAACAACAAGTCGCCCATGTAAAGACAGGTTTTATTACACTGCTATAAATGTCCCCCTTCAAGCTTCCTCTCACACATCACTCCATTGCTCTCTGTACATGTCGGCCGAGTGTAGTTTGTTGTTGTTGTCGTTGTCATCCCGTGACTTCCCACTGCTGGGCAAATATCCCCCCCATCGGCTTCCATTGCCCCCCTTTTCACAGTGCCTCCTGTCCAGTTGTGACCCCCGAACTCTGTGATGTCGTCTGGCTGCTGCTGTCCTTTCCGCTGTCTCTCACTCTCTGCTTCTCTTTCCTTCTTGCGGTCTCCACTCCCCGAGTAGATGTTTGTCTCTTGTCTCTCGTCAGCTGTTCTCATGACACATCGTGACCATTAGCACTCGATTTACTTTGCTTTAATGACAGAATTTGCGACCCCTGTTCTTTTCCTTATTTATATAACTCTTATGTATTCTTTATCCTGTCTCTTCCACTTACTCCAAGCATACTACTTTCCAGAATGTTTTGGTGAACCTGTAGCTTTTTTTTTACGTGTAGTATAGTAGTTACATGTGGTATAGTTATTAATCTATTTTTGTACTCGTAAGGTTTTCTGGGGTGGGCTGCATGTTGAGCATTTCTTATCGCAGGCTCTCACCAAGCACTGCTGTGGTGGGCTTCTTCAGGAGGCGAGTTAAACTTAAAATGCTCACCACGAGGCCCAACACGGAAAAACCTCACTTGCATTGTCAAGCACCTTCGAAATAACACATGTGGCTCAATTTACATTGCGTGCATTTTAAGCAAATCGTCTGTTGTGTTACAGGGTGTTGGAGAGTGCCATATTCCAGTTGGGCATGCAGCTGGAGGAGATTTCCGAGTGCATGAATGAAACGCCGAGGACACCGCTGCAGTTTGGGGACAATGACACGCTCCTCCTGCCAATCGCGCCATCGGCTCTCGCCCCATCGCCCACCTCACAGACTCCGTACCCTCACGTATGTTCACAAGCGCGAACCGGCTTGAGGTATTAGCCTGAGCCATTAGCGAAACAAACAAAAAAAACACACACAATCTAACTGGTACTGGCCAAATATCACAATGCTGATACATTGCCTATAAATTACTCAACTAGGATTACATTTATGAATATCGCCCCCTACTATTAGAACTGTGTGGTACCCTGGTGAAATAGTTTTGACCAGGTGAGTGAAGCTCACCTGGTCTAAACAATCATAATAAATAATAATAATTGTGTTAATTACGGTGGCTTGTCAGCATTCGCAGCCTGGATTTAGCTATCGTTTTTGGAGCTGAATGGTGAAAAAAACCTAAGAGTATAAAGTAGGGGGTGTAGCATGGTGTTTTTGATTATTATAATCAGCAGTTAAGTATTGTTAAAGTTTGTTTTTATGTTATCTTCCTCGCCTGGTATACAGGAAGGTGTGGGTTCAATTCCTGACCCCTGTATATTTAGAGTTCGCCTGATCTCTCTCCCTTTGGTGGTCACATGGATTTTTCTCTGGGACCTCCAGTTTTTCCCTCCACATTTAGAAATCTGCGATCTTATTTTTTTGGTTTTGACTATAAATGACCACATGTGATGATAATGATCAGATGATATCAGCCACTTCGACGAGCTGTCATGTGTGGTCAGGTCACCTCTGAAAGAGCACCTAACAGCTTAGGGGGATTTCCCTGATAGTAAAAATTGTTGAGTAGTTCGTTTATTTTTTTTCATCCTTTATATTAAGTTTGCTTGCTTGCTTGCGTGCTTGCTTGCTTGCGTGCTTGCTTGCTTGCTTACGACCGTGCAAACCTTTCGGTCGTTTTTTAACCCACTTCCCGTGATCCAATCGAGCTGACATTTTGCACACAGACTCGTTGTGCGAGACAATTAATGTTCGTGAAAATTTTTTTCCAAAATTTTACACTGTTTAGGGAAAACAATTAAATATTTAATTACCAATTGTTTAATACTGCAGACAATCATCTGACCCATAGGTGGCAGCCATCTCAAGCCAGAGGACGAGAGGACTCTAGCCGCCACGCATATAAAGGATTTAGAGTGAAAAACTTTGTTTTTACGGGTTATACTTATTCTCTCGTTGGCTATGGCCCCATTGGTGCCTAATGACGGGCCGCCACTGATGTCTGCTTGCATGATGTATGTATGTTGAACCTCGTTCGCACTGTACGTAGCCAACCATGCTAATCGGAGGTGCAGGGGAAGGACAACAAACTAAACACAAAAAACTGTTCTAGAGAAATGCGTTTTCAATCTAGATGAATTAAAAGTGCATAGCCTCGTGTGGCTTCCTAATATCAGAAGGAAGAGCGTTCCAGACGTCCGCAGAAGCGCATTTGAAAGCAAGCGATGCGGTGACCGTCTTTGTTCGATGGCCAGCCAAAAGCCGCTGATCATCTCTGTCTCCACCAGAGTCCACTGCCGGATGCCACTCAGCACCGTGGGGCGCTGAGCATGGAGCTGAGCTCGCTCAACGGAGACAGCGACAGCCCAGGGGCCCTGCTGCTGGGACTTCCGCCACCCCTGACCTCAAAGAGGGAACGAGCCGAGATTGAATACGCACGTCTCCTTGGCCAGTGAGCTGCGCAGCACCTGAAGACTCACACACTCCAGTTTTCAAATCGAAATGGCAAAGGGCATTTGGTTTTCGCGACGCTCCTAGGGCGCACGGCGGTCAGGAAGTCGCTGTGTTTCAGAGACACAGTCCGTAGCCGTTTCACAGTACGGGGGCAATGCTAATGATGTGCGTTTCTCAAATTGGTAATTTACGAGGCATTTTTTATAATTTTTTACATAAGTCACATAATGGAAAATGAATCGTCCACCGTGAAGCGGACATCACATACGTGCATTGTGGTTAATACACCCGCGGTATTAACTAGGGTGGCCGTGGGGCCCTAACCGTGAACCCCTCTGCAACATGGCGAAGACGCGCCACTGCTCGGCAACTGTCATGGCCCAAACACATCACCACACATCACACTTCACCACACATCACCACAGATCACACATCACCACACATCACCACACACGAGACATCGCTCCTGCCCAAACTGCTAAGGACGATTAACACGCCTTCCAGAACACCCCCCCCACTCCCACCTACTGCCCCATTCCCAGCTAATTTACAGCCCTAAGCAGAAATTATTACAAAAAACATTGGCGGAGAGATGAAGATGAGAGATAGAGATGTAGTGAGATGGTATAAATCTAAACAATAGCAGTGAGATGCAAGAAGATAGATACAGATGAGACAGATATGTAGAGGCATCGAGATATGTAGACACGACAGAATGGTGGATATAGATTATAAAAGATGCAGACAAGACAGGGATGGGTGCAATGAATTAAACTTTTCATGTTAATTAATTTGTCATGTTAACAAGGATATGAATTCTAGATGATTTTTGGTTCACCGATATTCTTTTTACGTAGAGAGGGCCATTTGTACTCCTTGGGGCCTTGAGCTTTTGCTTAGTTTTCTTATGCCTAGTGCAACGGCTTTACATGTGTGTGCCCAATGTATGCTACCTGCATTGACACTGCATCCAAAACTGCAGATTTCTCCTGTCCCCACAGCCTAATTACACGGCACGGACTGCAGGAGTAGTGATCCTCGCTCACCTGGTCTCACAAGCCAGTGTTGATTAATGAGCAGTTTGAGAGCCTTGAGCCGGATGCTGCGTGGACTATTTGCCAACACAAATCTTCCTTTGCTAGAGATGGCTCCTGCCTTAAGCGTGAGCATAATCCTTGATGATTTGGGCACTGGATTTTTTTGAGATTTTTGCCAGTCACTCTCGATGCTGGAAAATATCCAAAAATGTCCAAAATATCACCTGGAAAAACTCGTGGCCTTTTATTCCTGCGCTGAAATCTGGGTTTACAAAGGATTTAAACAAGGACCAAGCCAAATATAAAATTCTATGAGATCAGAGTGAAGCCTGCTTTGAAATTATTTTCACTCTCGTGAAAGTTATTCGTTGGCTTATGGACAAGACCGGGTATGACTGAATAATTGCAAGAAGCATTATTGGTTGGTATATATATGGAAAATAATTTCCATAGTTATGGAAATGCAGTAAAAAAATCGGGTTTAATAGAGCTGAAGTGACTGTTTATGTGTTGGTAGAAATTGTATTTTCCCATTATTTGGCAATTTTGTTTTAAGCAAATTGGAAAAAATAAAAAATGGGCAAATGTTCATATATATGTTGGTGGAAGCAGCCTTATGTCCCATTTATAATTATACATTGCCAATAAAAAATGCCCCACTGCTCAAATGAGTGTGGAGGCATTGATCATCTCAGACGTGAAAATTCCACATTCACATTTCAGAGGCCAGTCACTCTATGATAAGACCACTGTTGACAAAGTGGTGCTCCATTAATTCACCTTTGACAGATTCTGAGCTGAGTGAATCCACCAAAACTTTGATTTGAAGTTGCAATCTTCTTATTGAGGATCGCACGCTCCAATCACAGCACTGTCCAGACAGTGGCTGTTAAGCCAGTCCATGAAGGGAGCCTCGTTTTGTTGAGGGATTCATCTGCATAAAGAAATGTGTGCACTGAAAGAAGGGGCATTGCCTGAAACGTTGCCTTTAATATAACAGTTTCCTTTCAGGGCCACAGTTTTATTGAGTAATGGATATAATGTTTTACTATTATTTGTGTCTGTACACCACTGTCAAGGTAGTATCACAAGTTATGTTTACATAAATATGCATATTTATTCCTGAGCAAAGCAATGCAAAGCCCAATCGGCTCCCTTAAAACTAGACCACGTGCGTCTTATCGTTACTGTTCGCCGTGGCAGGTACAACAACTTTAAGACGCTCCCAGACGCGTTCAGTTCGCGAGCGGTGGACGCGGGCAGCGGGGACGGGGCGAGCGAGCGGAGCGACTCTGCCAGCCCCGACGGTGGGCGCACGCCACGCCCGTACGTATCGTGTGCGTGTGTGTGTACGTATGTTGAACTTCTGTTGCACCGTACGTATTGTGTGTGTGTACTATGTTGAGCTTTTATAGCACCGTACGTATCGTGTGTGTGTGTGTACGTATGTTGAACTTCTGTTGCACCGTACGTATCGTGTGTGTGTGTGTGTACGTATGTTGAACTTCTGTTGCACCGTACGTATTGTGTGTGTGTGTACTATGTTGAACTTTTATAGCACCGTACGTATAGTGTGTGTGTACGTATGTTGAACTTCTTTAGTACCGTACGTATCCAACCGTGTTAATCGGAGATGCGGGGGAGGGAAGGGCAACAACACTAAACACAAACGTCTCGTATATTTGCGGAACCACGGCGTCACCGAGTCTGTACACAAATTGCCGGCGATGTTCATCCAGCGATGTGCGTCCAGCCAAGGGTTAAGGTTGGGGATAGCATTCCGTCTCGGATGCCTGAGCGCAGGTGTTTGAGACGGATGGCTTTACATTTTTCACGTAGTGTTGCAGGACAATTCTGTCCAGCAGATTGTAGCCTGGGGATTAAACAAATACAAACAAATTCAGGAAGATTGCAATGATATCAAGCTGAGAATTAATTTACCCCTCCAGAAGATGAAGAATGCATGATGACTGGTGCTTTATATTAACTGCATCAGAACATTAACAGGCCAATGCACACATCTTCTTCACGAATGGACAATTAAAGATAAGCCACGGTGCCATTGTGGCTATGCAACACAAACTATGGACTGGGTAATAACCAGAGGTGTGGACTCGAGTCATGTGACTTGGACTCGAGTCAGACTCGAGTCATGAATTTGATGACTTGAGACTCGACTTGGACTTGCATAACAATGACTTTGTCCCACCTCTGAGGTGTGGACTCGAGTCATGTGACTTGGACTCGAGTCAGACTCGAGTCATGAATTTGATGACTTGAGACTCGACTTGGACTTGCATAACAATGACTTTTTCCCACCTCTGGTAATAACCCACTGTAGTCTGTACCCCTTCAATGGAGGGATATCAAAACGACACAAACTCTCTTCTGAAGCCCTCTCGTAGAGAGCAAACGTCGACATTGGCATTCGGCTTGAACATATTGCCGAATAGAGTAGAATTAAAATGCTTAACTAAAAGTTATCAATATACCCTACAACAGGGGTCAGGAACCTTTTTGACTGGGAGATCCATAAAAGCCAAATATTTCTAAATATATTTCATTGAGAGCCATATAGTATTTTTAACGTATAATAAATTAAATATGTCTTACTTTTAATGCGACTTCTGGTGCTGCATGGTTTTGCTGATGGCCTTGTAGTCTGGTTCATACGTGGTGAGGTTGAGCTTCGTGCAGGCGTGACCCGTGAAATTTTCTTTAAAACTAATTTCTGTTTACTTTAAAATGACACAGTATTATTAAACAATATCACAAGTATTTTAAAATCAGTTCCAAACTGATTTTTTTATTATTATTTTTTCCAACTCAAAATTGTCTGGGAGCCATATGCCGTCACCGGAAGAGCCATATATGGCTCGCGAGCCATAGGTTCCCGACCGCTGCCCTACAACATTCAAGTACAGGTGTCTGACACATATGCCTGAAATTCCGTGGCAAGATAGGTTAAGCATTGTGGATGTCTGGAAGAAAACATGGCAGGTGAGTGTTGTATATTTGATTGGGCAAAAGACGGTTGCGCTGGGTGGTACATTTGTAAGGATGGGGCAGGGCTGGTTACTGAGGCCAACATTTGTGAAGGATGGGGCAGGGCTGGTTACTGAGGCCAACATTGCAGTGTATGTATGTATGTTGAGCCTCTTTCGCACCGTATTTAGCGAACCGTGCTTAAACTAAACTATTCAAACTAAAACTATTTTTATCTTACTAGGTAAGGCCCACTGAGCTATATAGCTCTTATTATTTTAATTTATTATTTTATCTTTAGACGTGACTTAACCGAAAGAAACAAAGAATATATAGCTCTTTTTCAGAAGCGACCGAAGTGGCTTTTCACGGGGAAATGTATAGCAGCCAAATACTCTGAATGCTAATCGGAGGTGCGGCGGAAGGACAACAAACAATGAGTTTTCATTTCGATTTAAAGCTTTCGTGACTGCAGGCATTCATATGCTTGGTTCTTTCGGCAAAGTCACGTAGAAGGGAAATAATAAAATATAATAAAACAATAAAATTCCAACGACGTTTCGATTGCAACACGGACAATCATCATCAGGTGTTTGTGTTGCAATCGAAACGTCGTGAGAATTTTATTGTTTTATTTTTATTTTATTATTTCCCTTTTACGTGACTTTACCGAAAGAACCAAGAAAATTAGTTTTCAATTAGAAAACAAGGAAATATATAGCTGCCAAATACTCTGAATGCTAATCGGAGGTGCGGCGGAAGGACAACAAACAATGCGTTTTCATTTCGATTTAAAGCTTTCGTGACTGCAGGCATTCATATTCTTGGTTCTTTCGGCAAAGTCACGTAGAAGGGAAATAATAAAATAATAATAAAACAATAAAATTCCAACGACGTTTCGATTGCAACACAGACAATCATCATCAGGTGTTTGTGTTGCAATCGAAACGTCGTGAGAATTTTATTGTTTTATTTTTATTTTATTATTTCCCTTTTACGTGACTTTACCGAAAGAACCAAGAAAATGAGTTTTCAATTAGAAAACAAGTTTGCAATTGGAGTAATCTCCACAAGTCCATCGACCAAGAGGGGAGGTCTAAGATCAAGTGGTGGAATACTGCCAGAGCAGATCCTGGTGGTAGCGTGTCTAAATCCCAGAAGCTGCTGGATCTGGCAGAGGGTCGAAAGCGTTGGCTAGGTGTGGTGGCATCAACGCTTTTGGCCATGAGTACATCTCGCTCGAGCGACGACACGATGCACCTCCCTGCGCTCGCCCCCGTAGGCGGACGCCCATGTGGCCGGCGCGTGCCTCTCCTTCAGCCACGGAGCACGACGGGAAGGCGGGAGGGGACGCCGCTTTGCGCAGCGGTCGCCGAACGGCTCAGCACAGCGGCGCGGCGGCGGTGGCGGCGGCGGCGGCGGAGCACCACACCACGGCGAAAGCAGAGGTGGCGTCAGGGCGTCGCCGAGACCGCTTGACATTTGTGGCACAGGGTCATGGTTCAGCGACAGTCCTGGTTAACACTCCGGGTGTATTGAGCAAAAAATGCACGATGTCTGCTTCGTGGTGGGCGGTAAAGATCCCGGGATGTTATTTGTTAAAGAGTAGGCGGTCTATTGCTGGTGCCCCAGTCCAAATTTCTCAGATTTAATAACTTATCTGCAAATAATGTAATCCTGTAACACCATGTATAATCGCCCCCTGCTGGCTGACAAGAGCTATGAAACACCATAGGTATCGCCTTCACGATAGCCGTTGTGTGCTATGGAAATTGTGTGACTACCAATCACATTACATTATACTGGTAGGAACCACCTGGTTCCACCAGCCCACAAGGGATTATTGTGTCCGTCCGTCCATCGTGCATCCAAACATGGGAGAGGTGGGGCTGGGTGGAGAGCGGAGGGTGGGGAGGGGCTGGGTGGGGAGGGGCTGGGTGGGGGGTGGGAGGGGTGGGGCTGGGTGGGGAGGGGCTGGTCACGGGCTTGTGCCCGCCCTCACGGTTGGCCATATTTGTGGAATACACCACGCCGCCGTTAACCCTGGCCATTGACCGAGCAACCCAACGTTCCTACCAGCTTCCTCCGCAGGAATGTGTTTATAAAATAAGAATAAGTTTAGGTCATGAATTTGATTTCTGTGCATTGTCAGGTGGCTTTGTGGTGAGACACTCAGAAGGATTTGAGTTCAAATTCCAGAATTAAGGAGTCGACTGCCCATCATCCGTGCATGGAAATAAGTACCGCTTCATGGGAAGTCCACAGTGCTTGTTCTATGGACAAGATGACACCTGCCATAGTAATGTGGAATTTACAGCTTCCTTGGGGCCACCAACAGAGGTGAACACTGCCCCACACTCATTTGAGCAGGTAGCTTCTTAAATTTCTCATCCATCAACTGCTCAAAATTGTCTCTTTATTGTGCACTATAGGGACATGAATACACAGTTGTAATATAAATAGACGTAAAATACATTTAGATTATCATGGTTGAATTAAAAAGACTGGATAAAAAGCTTACATTTGGCACAAACTAGAAAATATAAATACCAAAGATTTTGACTTGGGCCCCAAAAAATGTAAGCTGAGAGCTTATAAACATAATACAGTTAAGTCTCTTGCATTTATACCTACGATCCGTCTTCAGTGAACCAAGCAGTTTTCCTCCCATGGATTGTGTGACATTGAAGCCAATAGCAGGGAAAATCTACTACCGGTTATCGGTAGAGCATATTGATATTGCACGTTGTATAATAATGTAATTATATTATTTAACTTTATAGTCTTTGAGTATGTCTTGAGCGAATATATTACTACGTACAGACAGCACGTAAAATATCACAAGCTGCATCCATTGAATGAGCTAATTATATTTCAGCATGTATCACCATCATCAACACCATCTTTACAAATGTTTAATTCTTATTTACCTCTAAGAGGTCTCAGAGTGCCAACACTTTTTTTTCATGATCCAAATTAAAGTTGAAAAAAAACATCATAAAAATCGTAACCAAAATTAAACATGCAAATAAATAGAATGTGTCCCATCTAAGTGCCAGGCAGTAGAGGCTATGCACGTGGCTTGTAAACCATCACTTGAGGCTACGAGGGTTGGTGGATTACACACACATATTTTGTAAAACTCCTGGTAGGTCTCGAGAAAACGTTACAGAAAAATGTGGACTCCACCTGGTTCCATCTGTATGGGATAGAGTGTTTCCACCTTGCACACGTGGGTTTTTGCATAAACGCATGAATTGGCAGAAAACATCTTAATAGATGAAGGAGCACAGAGCTTGGGCAATTGTTGGTAGTGCCAGCTCCCCACGTAGCTGCTGTTTTTTCTGCTTGTCTTCGAGATTGCGGCGATTTACAACTTGAAATTGACAGCATTAAAGTGAGTTATTTGACACAGTCAATCCAACCAAGTTATAACTCGTGATTATTAGTGGGGTGGAGCTGTGGTGTAGTGATTTGTGCATGGCACTATGAACCCGGCGACCTAAGTTGAATTCCTGAACGAAGCTAACACCCATGATCGACATGGAGTGGGGAAACATTCATCCAGCAGTACACTGGCAAAAGGATGCGTGCATGTACATTTACTATTTGAGTACAGTGAAATCTCACTAGGTTTCCTGTACTTGATGTCCTAATTTTTAAGTCCAACTAAAGCATTCGCATTGATACAACTGCTGGTCAAAGTTCCACCAATTTACATTTTTCTGCATCTAACATTAAGTTTGGCCGGTCCACTTAACAATGTTATATTGGGTTTTCACTGTTCTACTTTTGTGGGAAGTCAACAGCTGTTAGTCTATTGGAAAACAAACTGGCCCCAATTATAGGAATGAGAAATTTCCACTTTTGGTCCTGGACCACCAATGGAGATGAGCACTTGGCTACTCGAAAGCAATTCATCGTTAGCGTGGCTCCCCCGGCGTGGATTTGTCTGATCATTGCGTCCGTGTCCCTTGTCTCGCCTGCGATGGCGCCGCGTTTTCTAGCCGCGTGCGCCGGTGATGCCGAGGGCCCGGGGAGCACAGCCCCGCGCAGCCACGAGCCGCAGCAGCCTGAGCAGCGGCACGGGCGACGCTGCCAACCGTGAGCCCCGGCCCCGTCCAGCGCGACGGCCGGCCGCCGGCACTAAGCAGGAGGTGAGAGCCGGCACCACTCCGTGAGGCGTGGGAGTGGGCGGAAATGTACACCTCGCTTCGGCTCTTTGCCGTTGTGCTGTAAAGCTCTCCGATGTCTTTTCAAACAATAGCAAACTCGCAGGTTAACCACACACAAAAAAACAAAACACATCAGGGCGTTGGGCACGGATGTCAAATGTGTTTCCTCCCATCCTTCAGGTGGTTAAGGCCGGCGGTCAGAAGCTAGCGGAGGTCAGAGGCAGCTCGCCTGTGAGATGTGCGAGCGCACAGCGATTGCGGCACCTCATTAGGGGCCAGTGGGAACAGGCCCCACTGATGAAGAGAGAACCTCAACGACACTTACCTGTTCATTATAGAGATGATAAACTGCATACACCCCCTGCCTCCCCTCTCTTTCTCCCACTACCCCTTGTTCAACCACGGGTCTCAGGGTCTCTAAATAGAGAATGAGAACCACTGTGACACATTTATTTATTTCAGTACTGAGACACCTTGTTGCAGTCACCCAAGGAGTCTGTGATGGCTCTGGGAGTAGATCATCGTGTGTTGAATTTTAGTAAAATTAATCAATGTTTATTTTAACAGCTTAATAAAAAAAGTGTTAATTTCACACTCGATGCCCACTCAATGTTACACATTGTCAAGCCATCACCAGCCTGGTGCTTTGTGTTTATTTGTGTCCCCGTCGTGCGTAGGATCGAATCTTGTCACCAGAGACTGATAGCGGCTTCGTCGGTTCAGAGAGCGGGCGGCTCGGAGCAACGCTCACGACCCCAGAAACAACGATGCACGTGACCAGGTCGTCTGCCCTCGACTCTGTATCTCACACAGACAGACATATATAGATGACCCTGATGGAGCGGGTGACTGATGTCAATTTCAATCATGTTCTAGAAGGCCTGTCAAGGTGGAACTTGACCCAATTATAGTCGAGTGCTCCATTGTGGGCATTCCAGGGCAGTGCAGCAAAATCCATCATTGTGCTATGCTATGCTCCAATGGCTATGCTGCCCAACTTCACAAACCCATACTGACCAGCGTCGTGAAGTATGGTCAATAAACCCCACGACATTCCACGGTCGGAGGTCCTCAACCAGCAGCGATTTGACAAAATGCCGATACACATTAATTCAAGCGGTTCGCTTTTCACGTGAAGGGTAAATGCACGCACTAAATAAGCACGACGTAGTTATCTTTAGTGCATGCTGGTGTCTGATAAATCTGGATTAATAATATCTCCTTTTGCAATGCAATGGGAGATTTGCGTGCAACGTGCTCCATCCTCAAAGCCTACAACTCTCTCTGATCGCTCCACAGTGGAGAGGGGGGGGAGCTTCTCCTGATAATTGTCTGAGGGCCCTGGTGTGATGGAACGCCAGGCAGGCCGGGGTTTGTCCAAGAGAGAGTCAGACAATTCACGGCAATGCAAAGTCGCACAAGGGGCCACAACATTTGTTCTCAGTTGCAGCCCTGGCTCCTGCCAAGGCGTGACTGATTTCAAACCCCAGCATGTTCATTGCAGGCTTCTCGCTTTCGCAAACAGGCATCCCAGTGGCGTCGAAGCGGCTCCGAAACAACGCAGGGCGGGGGCAGCGCCGCGGGCAGCGCCGCGGGTCCCGCAGGATGAGGAGGCGAGGGCGACTGGCGCGGGATCCAAGCGGTGGGCTGCGGGTGAGCAGACAAGCAGCACTCGTGGCGACGTCACGCCCATCCGCGCCACCGCACCCCGCCTCTACGTCAGAGGCGCGGGGAGGGATGGAGAGAAGGGGGAGATCTCCACCCCACGAGGTGAGCCTTATTCGGCACGCTGTCGAGCGAGGCGTCGTGATGTACATCAGGGTTGTGCATGTATGCATGTATGTATGTTGAGCTTCTTTCGCGCCGTACGTAGCCAAATGTGCTAATCGAAGGATGGAAATGGTCAAAATTCCCAATGCAGGACCCTCCTGAAAAATAGTCTTATTAACAGAAGATCAGTGTCTCCCCACAATCATACAACTTTTACTTGTTCAATTTTTAAAATGTAAAACAATTTGGTTTACTCAAAACAGTGTTGTGCAGTGCCTCATTTCTATATTGTATTTAAAGAAAATTATAATAAAACAATACAGAAATAGTTGTTTTAAGCAATGCCAGCATAACTGTTAAATTTACATAGAACAGGGATATTTTCCATTCATGGCCCTTAGCCAGTGGCGGAAATTCCACAATCCTCTGACAGAGAGCATCCATTCCCAAGGATGACCACTGTTAAATTGCTAGAGTGGTGCTAATAGTCACTCTGGATGGACAACGAACTTTTTTTTCAACCCACACAGGATTTCACTTCCTAACTTTCTGATCACTTTCTGCCACAGCACCAGCCAATTCCTTAAATGTCAAATGAGCGCATGCACCAGCTGCTGCAGCTGCCAGCATACGTCTGCGGCAGATATGACTGTGACTGACGCTACTGACATAACCAGTCCTAACAAGTGTCTCACAGTCTGCTGGATGCTGAGTTTTACACACTGTCACCTGAGTTGAGACTGTGAACTTCCTACGCAGGTGCGAACAAAAAAAACTGAGATTGCAATGAAACATGACACATGTTCCCTGCTCCGTAGATCCTATTATAAGTGTCAGCCAGGGATGTGGCCAAGGTAGATTTCCAGGGCATGTGCTGTTTGCGACCACCAATTATAAAAAGCCAGCATGGCACACAAGGGGGTGGCGTAGCCAACACCACACAAGTGCCTTTAATCACGAAGTATGGATTGTGGATTGGCTGGCACCCTTCAAGACTGTAGATGAATTGTCACGGCTCGTTGTTCCAATTATATTCAAGAACCGATTCTCTCTTCTTGCCACATTGTGATTATTGTAGCGCCGCTAGGAGCTGCAGGGTTCTCATGAACCGATTACAAATTGCAAATATTTGATCATTCCGTGCACAATTGGAGTGTTGTATCGGGAGAGTTTGAATTGATTGTAATCCATTATCTGATGCATCGTTAAATGCCTAATAATCGCCCATTTCCCCAGTTCTTAATTTAAGGCTGAATCGAATGGAAATGTAAAAGTTTAACTCTCACTCTCCAGTGATGATGTGCATAGCCTGGAATCAAACCACACGCACGCACACACAAAGACGCCTTAACTTTCTGTATGCGTCCATTTAGGAGCCAATATCCCTGCATGCGTAATGAGAAGAGTGGTGGTGGTGTAGTGATTAGCGCCCAGTACTCCGAGCCAAGCAACCCGAGCTTGATTCCCAACCATGGCGAATATTAGTGGTGCCCGAGTGCACGTCCACGGTTAAAGATAGCGTGATGAAATCAGCTCATGTGCATGTGCTACATCACAATGCAGGATCGTGTGAGATGACAATGGCTTGGAGGAAGCCTTCATCCAGCAGTGGATTGATCATGGCCAGTGTTGATGATAACAGCGAATGGTTGCTCTGCTTGCTGCCCTACAGCGTTGGCGGTGGAGGCGGTGAGGACGGCTGCGCGTGCCACTAGAAGGGGCGCGGACGAGGTGCCTGGCTCGCCAGGCTCCACGCGCCTCGACTCTGGCCAGCCCTCCCGTGGCAGGCGCCTCTCCCAGCTCAGCGACGGGCAGTCGTCCCGCTCGTCGAAGCAGTACGCCGTCTTCCGTTGCGCACAGTTCAATTTCTCTATGCAATGTCACATTTTATGCACAACTTTTAATTTTATACACACAGTTCAATTTGTGTACGCAACGTTACATGCCATACACAACGTACTCTTAGGTTTTTTTCAGTAAGGTCACGTAATTTTTTTTAATAGAAATATTATTATTATTTTTACCTATGTGACCTTACCGAAAAACCTGAGTATGAATCCTTGCAGTCACGAAAGCTTCAAATCTAGAACTATACACAACGTTTCATTCTATACAAAAAGTCTAAATCTGCATATAAACTGAAATTCTATACACACAGTCCAATTCTGTACACCCACTTCAAGCCTATAACACAGTTAACTTCTTGACTTAAAGCTTTCGTGACTGCAGGAATTCATATTCTTCGGGTGTTTCGGTAAAATCACGTAGATAGGTTCAAAGAAAATAACATTATTTTCTCAAAATAACATGATTTTCTCAAAGAAAATAACGTTATTTTCTCAAGGAAAAATAATGTTTTTTTTCTTTGAACCTATCTACGTGATTTTACCAAAAGACCCAAAGAATATAGTTAACTTCTATACATCGAGTTCAAGTAAAAAAAAGTATACTTTCAGAAATAATGTAGAAAGCATTTCAGCATTAGCTCTGTCTGTCCATTCATCTGTACGTAACGGAGGAGGCACTATAAGACTCATAAATGATACCGAATATATCTTTCCTACAAGTTGTGTTTGTTCGGCCGGCTTGCCCCATAGAAAACTAACCAAATTGATCAAGCGGTCACTCAGAGCTGAGACACACCAAGCAGAGCTCAAATTACCCTTTGCAACCATATTACGAATACACTAATTCTGCAGACAGACGCATGTGGGAGCATGTTTCACAATATGCAAGATTTGTTCTCATTTGCAGTGCATCACCCTGTCAGAGAGTAGTCCCATAAGAGGATATCTCGTGATTACTGATGAGGTCGCTCCAACATATTTTTTATATTCACACCTTTTACATGCCCTGTAAAGTTTATTTGTGTGTCAATTAGACTGATGTTTTTTAATTGTTAGAGCTGGAAAAAAAAGCTGCATTGGGAAAAAAAAAGACTAATATGTCTTTCTTGGCAATTATCGGTTACCAGACCGAGACCGTGCTTAGTGTTTATTATCCAGTAGCCTAAATGTAACATCGGCATAATACATTCATGCAATTTGAATACATTGTAATACATTCATCCTTGCACAAATTATTAAATGCATGTATTATGCGCATACGAATGCATCTCATGTAAATTTCTGAAAATGAGAACATGGCTTTAGTCATGTATTAGCTGCCTGGATTCGAACCCAAGTTCCACTGGTCACCAACTCTGTAAAGGGCCTCGTTTTTTTTTTACATTGCAGTCATTTTTCGTTGCAAAGGTGACGTGAACCCATTATATACAACAGAAAAAAATATAGTAACATGTCCTTTGCCAATCTACTGGTGGAATGAAGGCCTACCCACACCTTTCATTCATGGGAGTTGTTTGACCTTACGTCACACGACGCTCAGTGTGGGTTTTAGTAATCATGACTTATTTACCCGGTAAAGCCAAAGACTCTCTTTCAGGAGGGGCCTACTACATTGGGTGGTTTGGCCAACACCAATGACATTCTATGAGAGGACACCAGAGAGCCCAGAGAGAACCCATGCAGAACAGGTGGAGAACATGCAAACTCCACACAGAAAGGCACCCAAGACTGGAATCAAGATTTACTGTGCATGTGTATTGCCCACTGCACCACTGCTCCACTTACAGAATTATTGAAAAAAACAAGAATTGTTACACACATCATTTGATGCATTTATTCTAAGAGAAGAATCGTTGTTCAAAGATCAATCAATGCATCATTGCACTCCTACGATATAAAATGTAAGTATTGCAGGAAGTGATGGTTTGGTACATGTGTTGTTGAGTGTTTTTAGGTTCATGGTGGCGTGGTTATTAAGGTGGTGTGGTTATGATCTTTACGTACGCCATTTTCATATGGTGCTTTGCACAATATTTGTGCTCTGAATAATTAGTATAACCCAGTGGTTGGTTTTATACATTTATTTTATGTCCTATGCTTTATGTGCATACCAACAGGACATATACATCTTTAAAAACTCAACTTCTGGCCATTATCCAAAACGTTGCCAATCATTTATTGTCCTTTTTAAGGCCACAGAATTATTCACGAATGAGACTTTTGTTGGTTTGTGCTTGTGCACTGCTGCCAATACAGTATCACCAAATACATTTGACAAATTTTTTGGCCGGGTACCAAGAGAGATAGCAGGGCATCTCAGAGCTAGAAAGAAATCCCCATCACATGAAATTTGGTTCTGCACTTAATTTGTCCAAAATATCAGCTCTAAAAATAATAAAAAAATCACGATCACATTCCAAACGTTACTCTTGGAAGAAGAGTGGATAGGAAAGTGCTGCCCATTACTGTGTGGAACAAAGGTCACTTCAAGGAATCTCAGAGGTACTTCTATGACACCCGTTTCCACGAGCCACTCTTGAACGCGAAGGGTTACACTGCCCTGTGAGAGATACTAATTTATGCTTCATATCATGACATTAAGCCGATCGCACAATTAATTTTAATTCATTTTTTACCTACGTGACTTTACCGAAAAAAACTAAGAGTATGAATTGGGAGAAACTTTGGGGAAAGACTTTAAAAGATCAGCATCCACGATCTCTGCTGAGCACTTCGCCCAAGATGTTGCGGGTCACTGTGCCGAAAGAAAGATGTGCTCTCGTTCGCACCTCCTAGGGAAGCCATGCTGACACTGCAGTCAGAAATCGCCAAACTGGGGCGGCGCCTGGAGCAGAGCAAGAGGCCTGGCCACGTCGCCCGGGACCCCGAGAGGTCTCGCGAAACCTCGGCATCGTCGTCCGGCCGATCCCGGGGACGAACCAGGCGCCGCAGCGTCGTGCCGCCGCCGGCTCCTCTGGCGAGCACGCCCAAGCGAGAGTGCGTCCTGGCACTCACCGATTCACACTACAGCCACTCGCTCACCAGCGGTCGGTCGACTCCGTATCACCCTTGTCATGGTTGCTGTTCTAATCAACTTTCACTTTTTGATTTCTTCTGCCACGAGGATTCAGCCTACCCGTCGGACTGTTTCATCTCATCCGTGTTGTGTTCAGCCACCATACTACACAGGACATGACACTTATCTTTCTTCTTCTTTACCGGTACTGCTCGATGTTGGTTCTCCCTCACATCGTCGTCTCTCCCCTTTTCCCCTCGATCGCACTGTGTTGTTGCCCAGGGCTTTTGGGCCTGTGTTCAGCAACCATAAACTGTTCCCTTCTCAAAACATACATTTGTAAATTTTAGATCATTTAAAAAAATGTCTACGCCTTTGAAATTACATTTCCTATTTATGCACGCAATCGTAGTGACTATGAGATACAGTCACCTAGCGATGGTGGTCAGTGGCATTCAAGTGAGGGGACACGTCAAACAGGAATCCCACCGTGGAGTTGGAAGCAATGGAATCATCTCTTCTGCATATGCGAGGTGGATCGTTCCATTGCAGAGCAGCGAGATATAGCTACAGCGGGTGGGAGGCCTTCATCCAGTGATCATGCCTGACGATGATGGTGACGACGGTGAGTTGGCATCGGCACGCGAAAAATAATTAACCATAACCGTCATAATCCTCGTCAGCCGTGATCAATCCACTGCTGGATGATGGCCTCCCCATCACAGGCGATGATGATTGTTGTCCTCTTTCAGGAAAGCGTCGGCAATGGGACGTTTCGGATACGTGGCTTTGGCATTTGGGCGAGCGCCGAATTCAATCTAACACCGCTCTCTACCGCTCTCTATCCCTGCGCCGTTCAAGCAAAAGCGTGGAGGACCTTCACCGTGAAGTCGTCAAGCTGCGGGAGGAAGTGAGATCGAGATTCAGCCAGTCGCAGCCTCCTCCCCTGCGCTCTCAACACGCTCACTGTAAGTTCTACGAGGGGGGGGTCATGGAAACATATGCCAGACTCTTGTAATGTGGGATTGCTTTGAGCAAAGTTAGGCTCGTAAGCTAGTTGTGTTGCGGATTGCAACCGATGCGCGTGAGTTTTTGAACCGTGCACAGATTTGCGTGGGGCATTTATCGCGGCTGCCGAGGTTGGATGCTGGACGGCAGAAATACCAACCGCATTGTTATCTCATGCGAAAGTATCTAAAAAGGCGTAATTTGGTGATTCTTTTCTTTTGTTACGTGAACGTGTGACTCTGATGAGGTGTAGGCCGCATTTGCTAAAACGGTTAAAACGGCGTGCACAGCTTTCAGTAAAAGACAACCTTCAGAGGCAGTGTGTATGGAAAGATATCCATTTGAAGCCACTTTCATGTTCCACCTATGTGCGGGTTCACAACATTTTCATCAGATCGTATGCAGGCAAGAGTTTCTCATTAGCATATTATCACAGCACCGGGTTTGGGGCGTGCATAACCGTTCCTATGCACTGAGGCTATATTTGCACCAGGGACTGAGCGTCACCTCCCTTTGAACTGTGAAATCTGTAAGTGTAAATGCACCTTTGTGGGAGTTGTTATTGGTTGTCAATGTGTATTGAAAGCGTAAGAGCTTTTTTTTCTTCTTCTTTTTTTAGACGACAGTACTTATATATTTATTATTATTATAGTTTGTCATATGTAAAAAAAAAACTTTAGAAAAATTTACGGTGGCTCGTTTTTATTTTTTTCACGATTGTGCTGTCGACCTCTCTCCGTTGTGGTTTTCGGGCCGTACCACCGTCTTTTTCGGGCACGACGTCTTGACGTTTTGTTAAGCATGCCGGCAACTTCTTCAAGAGCTACTTCAACAGCTATTCAGTAGCTTCTCATTTAGCTCCCGAAGAAGGTGCCAGCACGTGGGAATGAAACGTCAGACAACCGTGCTGAAAAAAACACAGTACAAACCGAAAAACACATCGGGGAGCTACTCATCTGTATTCGAAGTATAAAATAACTCATATAATGTATTTTTCACAATGTTGTGGTGAACATGAAATCGCAGTGTTATTATGATACCCATGTCAAATTCTTACCAGCTGATTTGGTAAAGCAGGATTTGCTCAACTGTCACTGCCTATTATACGTAAAATGTAATTTCTTATCGTGGCATTGCTTTAGAATGGCACACATGTGTGTAAACATTTTAATGCATGACGCTTGCTTTAACTGCGAAACATAACACCACCATATTGCCCAGACTGATTATCGAGATCCACCTATCCATAACTGTACCTGATAGCATATTCACAGAGAGAGAGAGAGTCTATGTTGCCTTGGCATGACACAACATGCTCCTTTTAGCATCGATAACGCGCATTGGACACGGAGCGGTGGTGCAGTGGTTAATTACGCTGAGCTAGGAACCCTGCAAGAACCTGAATTAAATTCCTGGCCACGGCTCACATCAGTGGCGAGCGACATCGGAACCGGTTCTTAGTCCGCAACCTCCGCCTATCCCACACCTGACGATCGTGGTGAAATACATTCAAGCAATGACCATCGTGGGATGGCATGGGATTCAATTCAAATGCAAATTCTCATCGTCATCATCATCATCATCGACTTGACGTTGTTAATGTTTGTATGTTAGCACTGCTGCCACCTGGGTCACACTGCCCGAGCTCTTGCAACTTTGTGCTGAAGGCTGCAGCCTCTCCGTGCCCGCTGCACGTTAATGAAGGGGTCGCTGTTGGGGAGAAAACGACAATGATAAACGTGGATATCGCGTTCATGTTATTTTATTTCTGGTTCGGTTTGGTTACATTCCACCACCCCACCTCCCCATTCTTCCATCTTCTTCCCCTTCCCCCGTAAATACGCTGCTCCCGATCGTTACCCCGACCGCGGTCGGTCCAGAATTTCGAAGGTGCATCGCGTCGGTTCTAGATTTGAAGTTTTCGTGACTGCAAGGATTCATACTCTTTGGGGGTTTTTTTCTTCAGTAAAGTCACGTAGGTAAAAAATGTAAAATAAATTAAATCACGACGTTTCGGGCGCAACACAAGCGTCCTTCTTCAGGTGGGGACACACTTTAGCAGTGTGCTTTTGCTAAGCTGTCCCCACTTGAAGAAGGACGCTTGTGTTGTGCCCGAAGCATCGCGTCGGGTTTGTTCCACGTTATTTGCACATTTATCCTCCCCCCCCACCTCTTCAGAATATACTTTGTGTTCTTGGTTCTTGAATAACAATAAAAAATAAAATGAAACGGTCGCTGCTGGATGTGTCGCTCAGTGGTGCTCCGGCGCTTGTGTTTCTACCGCAGGCTCGGACACGGAGGGCTCGCACACGGCCAGCGCTTCCCGTGCTGCCATTCCCAACCGAACCCCGCGCATGCACAGGAGCCAGTCGGAGGGCAGGCTGTCCCTGCGAGGCCCATACACAGGTGTGACGGATATGATGATGATGAGTATTACTACTACACTTGTTCAGCTGGGAAAGCCTCACTCAAGACTTTTGTTTCAGGAGGGTCCTGCCAGATTCTTCGCAGGAAGGGGCAACTTTGCAAAGTGTAATCCCAATTGGGTAATTTGCAGGCGTGTGCTTTTATTTTTGCACTGGGATGTTTGGCCAATATCGGTTACATTGTACGTGTTTGTATCAGCATTGTCATCAATGGCTACATTATAAAACATTAGATTTAGTTTTCTATTTGTCATATCTGAAATTGGACTATTGGCATATTTTAGTGTGATTTTCATATCGCAAGTGAGGTCATTCCTGCAAATGAAACTACCCTTGTCTCTCGAGTTCTCACCTGGTTAAGCAATAAACTTGACTTTTTAGAGTACACAATGGTTGGTTACCAAGTTATGAATGAAAACGACAAATTGAAGTGACTTAAATCAGTGTTTCAGTGAAGCTACCCTCCGGGGCTATTCTAATGAGAGGATGCAATGCAGTACTCACTGTGAGACTTCCTCGCTTTCGCGACTCTCCAACACACCGGTGTGCTGTACTAGTAACGAATTGGCACGTTCTGTTTAAGTGACAAACCTTACTAATTGGCTGTGTCGGGTGGTGGCGACTTGAACGACACATTTATACTGGTAGGAACCTCCTGGTTCCAACAGCCCACAGGGGATTATTGTGTCCGTCTGTCCGTCGTGCATCCAAAAATGGGAGTGGTGGGGCTGGGTGGAGAGTGGAGGGTGGGGAGGGGTTGGGTGGGGACGGAGGGGCTGGGTGGGGAGGGCAGGGTGGGGAGGTGCTGGGTGGGGAGGGGTTGGGTGGGGAGGGGCTGGTCACCCCGTGGTGCCCTTATAAAACTCAACGTTTAACCTACTCACGCCGGCTTGTGCCCACCCTCACAGTCGGGCATATTTGCAGAATACACCACGCCGCCGTTGACCCTGGCCATTGACCGAGCAACCCAACGTTCCTACCAGCTCCCTCCGCAGGAATGTGTTATTGATGCGATCTTACCCAAAAAAATCTCTATTATGGAAATGCATTTGTCTCATGGCTGGACACGCTGAGAGCACAACTCCTCTGACAGTGAATACAATGGATATTTTAATATGCACATTCAATGTCATTTTCCCTAAATTTTAACCTGCCTGTGTTATCAGCGTCATGTCACGATATGATGAACACATTCGGGTTTCTCGCAGTGCAATGCAATCGTTGGTGTTAGAGACTGGCTCATGGATAGGGCCAGAGCTACCTCTGCATATGAAATTCATGTTCATTGCATGACAGCCAATATTTTAAATGCTCAAGAGCTGGAACTTTACCAACTTACATCTGAATTCAAATGTTACGTGAGTTTTGTGCAGTACATACGAGGTGCTCAGGCTGAGACCCATCAACTCACTACCTTTGAGAATCCAATTTAATCACGCAGGCAGCTGCCAGAATGTGAACCCTTGACCTCAGCGGTGTCAGCTCAGAGCTCTGACCTCTGCGACACATGGCCACCTGAAGAAAAATGAATTTAATGTGCACAATTGACGGAATTATGTCAATGACTACAACCGTCTTATCTATGTCGGCCGTCCTTGGTGCGATCATCACTAACAGCATGGCAACAAAAGTTACTGCCTTGAGGGTCGTGTCTGTGCTGGTTTTTTTTTAGTTGTTTATTTTAGTTTTTTTCATTATCACTAACATCCACCAATCAATGGGACACAGGTGAGGAGGTGAAATGCTATTCCCTATTGGGGCTCACAGCCACAGCAGTAGGCACAGATCAAGGCATTCATAGGACCTTTTCCGAAGCTCAATCAATGAACATTTTTGTTCCTCATACATCTCTCAGGTGTATAACTTCTGCTGGATCATCGAATAATTCCACCGCTGTCTACGTGCCGCTGTTTACTTTCTAGGACATCACATTGTAACAAAATATGCTTTGCCGTATTGTCTCTGGGTCCCCCCCCCCCATTGTTTTCTCAATCGTCGGTAATTGAGCTGAAACCGTCAAATGCACTGCACTTGGGGAGCCTTTTTGTACCCCCTGGAAAAGAAAGCCAACATTTTTCGTTTTCTATCCCCTCGGGGTGCTTAACTGCAGGTTCTGAAACCTATTGGTTCACCAGTCCGACACGGGGCATGAGAACCCTGCGCTAGCCGGCCTGTGAGCTTGAGGTCTAAGGGTCTCACAGGTGCCGGCTCAGTTCCCCGATGCGCTGCATTAGGCTCCCCTGAGCCACTGGGTCACATCACACCCCCCCCCCCACGGACTTCCCATTGGCACTCTCTTTCACGCGTTGTATTGGCACCAAATGTTATTTCGCAGGAGAGGAGTGGTGCTGTCATGCACCGGAGTGGTTGTGCAGGATCAACCGCGGAGCTGCGCGATTGCTGGGCGTAGGGGCTGATGTAAAAATAATAATGTCAAAGCTATTTCTGCTTGAACATTGGGGTGGCACTTACCTCCCAGTTACAGCTCCTAGCGAGTGTCAGAAATTTCACGTTCCTGTGGTGGGGGTGAATCTCGCGATGGAATAACCTTCGTTGCCCTTCAATATCCTATCCTTTTCTCCTGAGTTCTCGCTTGGTTAAACTCAAAACTTTGTTGACTTACCCACAGAGTGGTACTCATTGTATTGACCCTGCAGGGATAATGGACTGGGTCATGCCTGTCTCCATTATTTGAACTCGCGACCTTCGTACTCTGAGCCGCGACCTCCTTACTCTCCCGCTGAGTAACCTTGGTTGGAAATTAAAAGCAATTTTTATTTTAGTAGCACTGCAATCCCTGGTGATGGGTGCATGTTAGCGAGACAGGCAGGGTGTACTTTGCGGAAAGCAGGCCATTCGAACACCCCCTTCACAGCTCAGCGCGTGACCTTTTGAGGCGGTGCTCATACAAACGATTATTGAGCTGGCCAATTAAAGTGCACATTAATGAATATTGGACGTGCCAGTGAGTCAATGCAGGTTCCCAGTCCACCAGCACTTCCCCCTTACCGCCGCTCCCAACGTTAACCTCTTCCGTCCTCTTCATGAGCCAGGCGGTGGTGGCTGTGTACGTGTCCTGTAATCTAGCACTGTGGAGGCCGTGAGGGTTGGTGCATCACACACGTGTTGTGAAATTCCCTTCTCGTCGGCATCGAGGTGCCATAACCCTGGCTCGCTAGTTAACTAATCGCCATCTTTTTCCATCGGTACGGGGACAGAGCGTTACCCCCTCGCCCGCCTGAGTTTTCTCCCAGTGCTCCGGCTTCCTCCCACATGTATGAAAACAACTCATCATTAATTGGCTGAAGACATTCTAAAATAAGCACCCGATGCAGGACCCTCCTGAAAAAGAGCCCTACGCCTCAGTGTTGCTCTCCTGCAGAAATAAGTCGATGAGATTACGTGCAAAAAATTGATGGAAATGTTGCAAGGGTGACTCTTCATTGGGGACCTGTAAATAAATAAATCTCCGGACCTCAGCTTGAAAATCATTCCATGCACTAGACAAACCATATGTGAAGGAACTATTTTTGGGGACAGGTTAAGATCATTCATCACTATGGCAATGGTTTTGCTGCCCGACAGGTACACCACGCTTCATTTCCCTCTCCGATCTGTGTTTTTTTTATTTCTGGCTGTAACGCATGTCGTTCCGCATGTTGTTCGGCACAATGTCCGGCGTTTCGCTCTACACGCCGGGAGCTTCCTCAGGAACTGAATAAAGCGGCTCACGTTCTCCCTTGATTATATATCATTGCCTGCTGTTGCTTGTGTGAACAAAATGCAGTACAGCCCGAAAACACATTGTAGGGTCATACAGCACAACCGCAGACAAACCTATGCAGCAATACGCGGTGCCTTCGCAGTAGGCTATCTTCCATTGGTGCATGCATTGAATTGAAATTCTAAATCGGATTAGAAAAAAATGTTTTGTTACATCTAAGCCATGGATCGCCTGTTGCACTGGGAAGGACAACGCATTTAAATTTAGCGCTGCCGTTTGGCAGGCGTGGGCCCAGATAATTACATTGAGCAGAGGTAGTTGTGGGGAAAGACATAATTTATTAGCAGAATTATAAAAAAAGTCAAATCGGTTGGTTTACCTGCTCAAACAGGCACGCATATCTTTTGCTAGCCATGAGTTCGTTCGGCAAATTCCATATTCCCTCTGCTGGGACCGTTCTCTCGACAGCATGACCACCGCTTATGAACACTACACCTAGAGGTGGCCGGCTGGTTCAGAGGTCAGCACACTTGACCTGGCATCGCTGAGCACCTGGGTTCAAATCCGCAGGCAGCCACCCGTGAACAAACCAGGTTCTCAAGTGCAGTGAGTTGATGGTTTCAACCTGGTCGTGAATGGCGGCAGCACAAAACAAACCGTCGCATTCAACTTCGGGTTTGCACTGAATTTGGAAAAATTTCAGCTGTGAAAATTACAATGAACCATCTGGGCTTGTCATCCAGTAAAAAAAATAACACGTAGCATAGTGTGTGGGGAAGTATGACTTGTACCGTATGAAAAGGATAAAAAGGCAATTCACCGGATTGAAGTCCCGTGAGGTTTCTCAAAGGACCTCAGGCTCCAAGATCTCCTGAATGGGTTCATCGTCTCCATGACAAAGCCCTATAGCGTGACCTTGTGGTCTCAAGGGAGGCAGACAAAAACTCCGGGGTGGGCGCAACATATTCAGTGTTAAACAAATTCTAAACAATCATGGGTAAGAACACGATTTGATGTTATATCTATCCTGCATTCATCTCTAGCTCTTACTCCCTATGTATGTGATGCACACGGGAATATATATATATTTTATGGTTATGGGTGTTTGCCAAGATGGTAAACTTTTAAATAAAATAACTATTGGCTTTGAATATTTTACTTCTAATTTAATTATTTATCCAGGAAAGCCACACGGAGTCGCCAAACTCTTTGTCAGCAGGGTCCTGCAGTGGGTGTTTATTTTAAGATGTTTTCAGCCAATTAATGAGCAATGACTATGATAATCTACAAGGAATCCCCTGATGCAATGGGGCTGTCTCATTACATATTTTCGATTGCAAAGTTGGTTTTATTTGTGAGAAAAAAAACTCCACATTTAAAATCTCCGGCTCCCATACCCGTAGCGCTACTGTTCATGGAACCCGAGGCCATGTTTTAAAGTGTAAAATGAAAAGCACAAGGGATGTTTAGGAGCCAATGATTTCTCGCTCCACAATGGATTATGGCTTTATGGAACAGCCTGCCAGACGCTCATCCACGGGCCCTCTTTAAAGAGCAGCTGTGTGAATTCTTATCGGCGCTGTGACGTGCACAGCCAGGCGGCTGTAAAGGGAGCAGCGGGAAAAAAGTAAAAAGTATATGTGTGTGTATTTCAGGCTAGAGAAATATCATTGTGATGGCAGCAGACATAATGGTTTTTTCCAGATGGACTCAAGTGCCATGCATTATTCTAAACATTGTGGTTTTTGTCATTCGTTATTTTTCCCTGACCCCCTCTAACTGTCGGCACTTTGTGCCTGGTTATTTATTTGCCGGCAGGACGGGACTATATTTCTCCGACCGTGGACCTTGCCAGCGTGGGCGTTCCTGCGGACTCAAGGGACACGGACCAGGCTGTTCCATGCCACTTTTGCAATGGCAGCGGAGTTCAAGAAGGTCGGATTGTCTCACGAGTTTCTTACACCACTCCCCCGTCACACCAGTTCTTTCCGTTGTACTTCAACCCAATCTGCCCATGTTTTGGGGTGCCACACTTTTTTTTATTGCAGGGATTCATTTCGGCTGGGTCTGTCCAGGTTGGCGACCCTAACAAATATTTCCACACCTGGCACACCACATTACAGTATACCTCTCTCAATGTGGCTGTGACTACAACTACAAGTCACGTGCTTCTTCAGTACACCATTCTGCTAAAACATTCCGTAGAACAATTATGCCCTGATATTAAATTATTGCCTACTGGGGATGAAAGTGATCACAGGGGCATAGCGTAGGGAACATACTCCCCCCCCCCCCCATTAGCACTGTCTCGCTCTGTTCCCATGCGCTATTAAATACGTACAGTGTATGGAATGCTGCCACGGTGTAATGGTTAGTGCACTGGACTTGCAATCCAGAGGTCGGCGGTTCGATTTTATCTCCTAGCATGGCAAGTTAAAACAACGCTATGAGTTTATTAAAATCCCCCCTATCTCTGCCCACCCAGAAGTATGAAGGGGTCAAACACAGCTAGTCGATCGACAATTCGCGTGTGGTAGGGTAGAATGTGGGTACTGCCACCACTTCCAAAGACTAGTGACCAGTATGGAAAGGTAGCACAATTACCCTTTCGTTCTTAACCTTTACTGCAGCCTTGTACCCTTTTGATTCTCAATCGTAAAAAAAAATTACGTTAATAAATACATACGGAGTTTGATGAGACAAAGTAGTTGTACTTCGGTGCCCGTGCTTCATTTGAGTTTCGATGATTTACCTTCAAAAAAGATCTGGCCACGTCTCACACCTCCCAGGGGGTGCAGCGTGGACGACAGGAGAAGAAGAACCACTGCTCGAGAGGGACTCTCCTGAGCAGTTCTGTTTTTTTCAGGCGACAGCCCTGCAGCTTGACCTCCTTTTAAAAGGAAGAGACAAAAAACTCTGGAAAACATGAAGAGTGTCAAATGTACATTCTAAATGTGACACTATAAAGACAATGAGTAACACCAAAATGTGCCTCGCATACTGCCCTTCCTATCACCCCCTGTTTATTATATATTATACCAACATTTGTTTTGCTTGACTATAATCATTTGGAAGGGGCGGGCGGGGGGAGCTGAGCAGAGGTCGCAAACGGGTTTTGATTCCTTACCCGTACCCGTACCAGGCCACACCAGGGTCGCAAATGGGTACCCGTACCCGTACCCGGCCGGGTACGGGTACCCGTTCCCTACCCGTACCCGTACCCTACCCGAAATGAGTGACAAACGGTTACTCACCAGTGACTCACGGCCTACCCGTACCCGGCCGCACCAGGGTCGCAAACGGGTATCCGTACCCGTACCCGGCTGGGTACGGGTAGCCAGGTATCGGGTAGGGTACGGGTATCGGGTACCCGGTTGCGACCTCTGGAGCTGAGCAACATTGGGGGTGGGGATTGTGGAGACGGTGGTGGGGGGGGGGGGGCACATGCCTCTCCACCCGCCCCCCTCCCCCGACGTTACAGAGCAGTTGGGTGGCAGAGTGGAACGGGATGCCTCTTCACCCTTGGACCCCACCGGTTGCAGTCGTCCGCGCTGGCAGTCTGGACGGGCTGAACCTCCGCGTGCCGCTGCCCTCTCCACGGCGGCGGCGGATAAGCGACGCCCGCGCCGCGCCGCACTGCCCGCTCTGCCGCGGCCAGGGCACCGTCGTGGTGTCTCGCGGTCACCAAGAGGGTCGCGCCAAACACGGTGGGTCGTGCCCACACAAGCCAGCTGGAAGAGTGGAGGATGGGGGGTGTGGGCCCATGTCTAGCAGTGGATTAACAAAAAGGGTTGCACGTGTCTGTGTATGTATGATTGATTATGTGACTGTTTCATCATTATCAGCAGCAGCAGTCATGGCCAATCCTCTGCACTGCTGGATAAAGTCCTCTCCAAGCTGCTGGGGTGTAAAAAAACAAAATCCACCGAGCACGTGCACACAAACTCAGGTCATCGTTCCATCTCCTTGGTGGAGGTCCTCTCCAGTGCGCTCCATTCCTTGGCTGCCACTCCGTCATTGTTGTTGATCATCGGCCATCGTCCCTGCTATCGACGCATCCTGGCCATGCCCACTCGCTTTTTGTGTGTTTAGTTTGTGGTCCGGCTCCCGCACCTACGATGAGCACAGTTGGCTCCGTACGGTACGAAAGAAGTTCAACATACATGCATACATTCACAGTTCGAATGATGTCACGAACCTGAGCACGTTCTCCAATCCAAACGTTTCTCTTTCTTATATATTAATATAATATCCAAGCGTGCATCTCTCCTGGCTTTGCACACTTCCATTTTTGTTCCATATATGTTGTTAGTCTGTATGTATCCGTGTGGGTAGTATGTAAATGTAGTTGTACTCATGTGTAGATCACTTGCATGCAGGCATCATGGTTAGCACGTTGTGCTGTGCTCGCTAACAACCCTTTCCCCCAACAGATTGTTAGAGGCTATATGGGGGATCTTTGTCTCTGTGTGCGTGTGTGTGGGTGTGTACATAGTCCTTGCTGTGCCCTCATGTACAGTTGTCTGGTTGCACATCCCCAGTCCTGCATGTCAATGTCTCAAGTTCTATATTCCCATGCTGCAGTTCACTCTGCAATCAACCATTGATTCAATTTAGTGCAGCATTTATAGTAAGTACCATGAGAATCAATGTTGAAAGAAGCTATTATCTTGTTGACGGTTACCAATCAGGGTCGCTACATGCAGCGCCAGCCAATGTTGCTCACGGATATCCCAGGCCTAGTTTGCATCACCCTAAGCTAATATTTGATCTTTACCACCAGCGTAATTAGTTTGCATTGGGAGTGGATCTTGTTACGCTGATTTGAGTCAGCAAGTTTACTTTCACAGTTATACAGCCATTTCCTTGCGCTTAGGTTGTTACACACAATCGCATACTTTTCATTGTTTTAGAACTGATTTTTGTACTTAGCTTGATGTCCTCACCCCGCACCTCCAATTAGCATGGTTGGCGATGTACGTTGTGAAGCAAGTTTAATGTACATACTTGCTCTTCCATGATTTAAGTCAGTTTTCCAAAACCACTGCAATCAGTTCTCATTTACGGCGTTCTTCTAAAGAATAACCTTTTAATCACTCAATTTTGCCTGCGATGATCATGCATTAAATAAATGCTCCAAAAGAAACACATTTGCTTTGTGAGATACTTGCTTGCGAATTGAACTCACGGGACGGGTAGATGGACAACATGGGAAAGATAGCATATGCAAGATTAAGAAAACATAAGTTGGCCTGGCCAGGACACGTCAGTAGCAAAGATAACCGTCGGTGGTCAAGACGAATGACAGACTGGCTGCCAAAGGAGGGAAAATCGGCTCATGCACAGGAGGAACTGGTCAGGTGTCGGACTTAATCTGCAGACACTGCAAATCTGCAAGTCAGCCAGTAGATGGCAGCAAAGAACAAAGATTGCTGAACCATATCTGCAAGCATTGCCTCTCAGTCCCACAAATGAGAGAGTTGTCTCTGGAAACTCTCGTTGCCACCCAAATGGGAAATATACATTCAGTAATTGTAAAAAAAAACGCATAAATCAAAACGCTTGTGGCCTTAAAAGGAAAAATATACAATCGGCAGGGTTCTGGGCAATTATTAAGTAGCCAAATGTCTCTTAGAAGGACCCTTCCGCAAGGGGCATTGAAATGCAATGAGCCTTTACTGGATGAATAAAAGACATTGTTACCATGACAGTCAAGTATAACTGTAGGCGTGCGTGTCTCGTGTAAAACAATTGTCCACGGTAAGCGACTTGCGTCAATGTCATTGGAGGAAAAAGTTACGTAAACTACTTCTGCGATGAAAATGTGCAATTTCCACAAATACGTCACCACCCTTGGCTCATGTGACTTGTTCGCATCCTTTTTGCTGAAAGCGAAGCCTGATACATGCACAGTTGGTTAAGCACGGTGCGAAATAAGTTCAGCATACATACATTGGAGTTATTTAACCTTACTTCACCATGCTGGTCAGTGGAGGTTGGAAACGGTGAGAAGTATATTTACGTATGAGCGTGTTAGTACAGACCAACACATGATGTTGCTGAACTGCCTCCTGCTGCCTACCATGTGGCCCAATAGCCTAAATAGCAGTCAACCTCGTTTTGGTCAATGGCCCTTCTTCATAGCACATGCACGACGTTGTATCCGCATGCAATCGCCGTGTTGCTTGCGTCCGTCCGTCCGCCCCGGCAGATTCCTTCCAACGCCAGGGTCGCAGTAAAGGCAGGCGGAGAAGCCACGAGGCGGCCACGCTGGAGGCCGCTGCACCCATCCCCATCCTGCAGCCTGGGGTCTCCTTCCCTTACTCGCTGCAATACCTGCCCCACACGCCACCCATCATGTACGTGCCTTTTCACTCCGAGCGAGTCCACATCTCCTGTGTGGATTCCTGTAGCTATGCCGCTCTAAAAAAAACACTATCTCTTTAAGTTTCAGATATTAACCATGAACTTTGTTTTTTTCGGTCAAGTCACGTAGGTAAAAAACTAAATAAATGAAAATGAAAACAACTAAATTATTATGATTTGTTTTAATTATAGTTGTTTTCATTTTAATTTATTTTATTTAGTTTTTTACCTACGTGACTTCACCGAAAAAACCAAAGAGTATGGATCCTTGCAGTCACGAAAACTTAAAATCTAGAATTAACCATAAAGTCTAAGAGTCCAAAAGAGTCCTTATTCTGGATGTTTGTGTGCACTTTAGTACTACACGGTAAGCAGAGAGCGGGCAAAAATGTTTAACAGATATAACTAACAAGATGGCGACTACCACCTCACTGCCATTTGCGAATTGCAGAGCAGTACATGTTGATCGTTTGGACAAGGTGTAGAGAGAGTTGAGATTGCATCCCATTCTTCATCATCATCATCATCATCCATCAATCACTGCAATCGGATGACAACTGTGATTTTAAGTTTGTGCGTTTCTGCTACCTATATCTAGCGCTCTGTTCAATCAAGCGTCTTAATTCCGTTGGCGCTTTTGGAGCTTGCTTCATACTTTGAGGTGCACCTCCGATGAGTACGTTTGGCTACGCACAGCGCAGAAGAGGTGTAACGTATATACGTATGTACAAGATGCGATATCAAGCAATTAACGATGATAGTCACGTGGGCTGAGCCACCGCAGCAAGTGAGATGACACCAGAGGCTTTCACTACTAATATTATCCGTAACAGAGGCTTTTTGGTAAGATCGCACAAATTAAAATGTGTCGTTAAACCCACTACCATCCGACAGCCAAGTAGTAAGGTTTGTCACGTGAACAAAACATGCCAGTTCGTTACGAGTTCAGCACACCGGTGTGTTGGAGTGTAAACCCACAACATCTTCAATTCGAGTACGACGTTTCTCCAGTAACTAGTTCAGCACACTGGTGTGTTGGAGTGTAAACCCACAACATCTTCAATTCGAGTACGACGTTTCTCCAGTAACTAGTTCAGCACACTGGTGTGTTGGGAGTGTAAACCCACAACATCTTCAATTCGAGTACGACGTTTCTCCAGTAACTAGTTCAGCACACTGGTGTGTTGGAGTGTAAACCCACAACACCTTCAATTCGAGTACGACGTTTCTCCAGTAACTAGTTCAGCACACTGGTGTGTTGGAGTGTAAACCCACAACACCTTCAATTCGAGTACGACGCTTCTCTAGTAACTAGTACAGCACACTGGTGTGTTGGAGTGTAAACCCACAACACCTTCAATTCGAGTACGACGTTTCTCCAGTAACTAGTTCAGCACACTGCTGTGTTGGAGTGTAAACCCACAACACCTTCAATTCGAGTACAACGTTTCTCCAGTAACGAGTTCAGCACACTGGTGTGTTGGAGTGCAAACCCACAACAACTTCAATTCGAGTACGACGTTTCTCCAGTAACTAGTTCAGCACACTGGTGTGTTGGAGTGTAAACCCACAACACCTTCAATTCGAGTACGACTTTTCTCCAGTAACTAGTTCAGCACACTGGTGTGTTGGAGTGTAAACCCACAACACCTTCAATTCGAGTACGACGTTTCTCCAGTAACTAGTTCAGCACACTGGTGTGTTGGAGTGTAAACCCACAACACCTTCAATTCGAGTACGACGTTTCTCCAGTAATTAATCGCCTCTGGCCTTCGCACCTGATTGGCACACAAGTGATGACATCACATCTATCCCTCTATTTGAGACTGAAACAGAAGGATTTATCCATAGCTCTGGCTGCTGGTTGTAATTCCGGTGAAACGTCGTACCCGAATTGGAGATGTTGTGGGTTTACTCTCCAACAAACCAGTGTGCTGTACTAGTTACGAAATAGCACGTTATATTTACATGACAAACCTTGCTAATTGGCTGTGTCGGGTGGTGGCGGGTTTAACGACCCATTTCTATTCAGACGATCTTACCCAAAAATCTCCATTATGGACCAGAGGTACCGTTTGCACGTCTTGTTTCTTTCCCCCCAGATACTACGCGAGCCCTGCCCCCATGTACGTGCCCGTGTCTCCCGCGCGTCTCTATGCCGCGGTTGACCGCGTGCCGGGGCAACCGCCGGAGCGGACTCGACGCAGCCACAGCGTGGGGCCCGCTCGCGACGGAGACGGCCGCTGGGTGACCGCCAGGGACATCTTGTGGAAGGTGCGTAGCATCAGAGCCGCAAGGCAATTGTTGGAAAACGAAGAAAGCGAATAGCAGCTGGTGGCTCTAATATTTGGTGCCAAACGAAAATTTTAAAAAAGCGAGCACTACAATTATGGGACAATATAATTATAGTAGACGTCGTATTGTTCGGTTGAAAATGTGGGGAGTGCCCACACTTTATCCCACCACACGCAACCTAACAATCGACTAACTGTGGTGGTACGCATTTATACTGCCGGGTGGACAGAGGCGGAAAGGATTTCATCAACTTGCCCCATTTTTTCAACTACCACGCCAGGAGAACGAACCAGTGGTATCTGAATAACAAATCCAATGTGCGACTGTTCCACCAATATGGCAACCACCTTTACCTACACTGTAAGATCAATCACAACATTACGGTGTATCGTTTTTCGGCGGCAGGGTGACACATTCGTACCACTTGTGCCTCACGGCAAGGAGAGCCTGTGCTCGATTGCTGACTTGGGCTTTTTTGTGTAAAGTTTGTATGTTCTCCTCGGGATTTTATCAATTTCCTCCTGTAGTTAAAAAACAAAAACCCAATGTAACTGGTATTAGCCAAATATCCCAATTCTCAGATATCACCTGCAAATTACTCAATTGAGATTACACAAAGCAGTAGCATCACCCCCCTAATGCGAAAACTTGGCAGCACCCTCCTGAAAAAGAGCCTTGAGACTCTGTGAGGCTTTCAAGAAAAATAATAATAAATAAACAAATGGCTATATTGCACAGCTGTGCCCTGTGCAAATGTGCACGCTTGGTGGCCATGTGGCTTTGCCACCTCTTACCCCTGACAGCAACTGCCTGCCGCTCTCCCTGGATGCCCCAGTAATGAACCGCAGGCGCTCCTCCGCTATCTCGGAACTTATGTCAAACCTGCTGTCCTAGCCGCCTCCTCCTCCTCCCAGCGGACGCAAGATAGAGATGTATGTTGCTATGAATTGTATTTAAATGTCCGCGAAAGGTGAGGCACGCATATGCGGCCAAATCTGCACCCATTGTCCATTTTTCGTGTAATGAAGCCGAGTGCGGATTTTATTTCACATAAAGACAATTTCGTAAATTAAAAAGCTACACTGGGGCTCTCCACATGGGCTCAAATGAGCATTGGGAGCGTGTCTTTAATTTGCCCCTGTGCGGTGTAAGTATGGCAATGAGCCTCAGCTTAATTACTGCGATCGTGACTGCCGCTTCGGAAATCTCCGCCTTCATTACAGAATTGCGCTAACAGAGAACTGACAATTGCCTTTCTTGATGGGCGGCATTTATCTGAAAAGTGAATCCTTTACAATTTTCTCTTTTTTTTTGGTTATATAACTTGCTGCATCGAGATCAACGATTATGATTCTGCTGCTGCAAATTAGTGGACTCCGTGGCTTAGTCGTGGTCACCTTGCCTATAAAAATCATTGGTTAATGGCGATGCGTAGTTAGCTGTGGTCACTCACCTCCCCTTATTTCTGGTGCAGCTTCTTGTCAGTGTCCTGCATTTTGAAAAATATCTGGCTTTTACCTTTCAGCTGATGGATTGTGCTGTATTTGTCAGCTGTTGAATCTTGGTACATTTTCATGGCATGTTTTTTTTAAATATTATAAACATAAGCTTGTACATGTGGAGCCCTTTTGTCAAACCACCGCTGGATGAGTGCCTCCCCATCCCATACAAGTAACAAGGGGTCATTTGAGCACACTTCACCAGACTAGTCAGTGCGGGCTATTGAATGCGGGGAGTATAGACGTGGGAACATAGACGTGCAGTACAACAATTTATCTGGTTGCACTGCCCTCTGCTACCCTCCACATAGCCTCACGGCTCTATGACAAGCAATTTGTGCGTTGTGGCCACTCACTAATCCAGGCTCAAATCTGCTTAGCTTCCGAGACCTGGAAAGTTACGAGTCATTCCGGGTGATTTGGCCATCGACTCGAATGCAAAATTCAATACAAAATTCTCTCTTCTGCTCAACTAAAAACTTCTTCCACCACACGGATCCATAGAAGCTGCTGAATTTAATGCTTTAGCTGCACTCTTCAGGTGCCCTTGGGGTTGTTAATCATAGAACAAGTCACACGTAAGGTGGCAGGCATTTCCAACAGCTGCCCCAAACTATGGAATACGTTTCCAATACGCATTAAAGGTTCCAGAGCAATTGTGCCCTTTAGGTCATACACAAAAAAAATATTAATTTTAAAAGGCGTAGGCTAGAGCAGTGGCGGTGGTGCAGTGGTTAGCTCATTGTGCTACAAATCCGGCTTTGATTTCCAACCACAGTGAACATCAGTAGTGAGCCAACGCTGATTATATAGTGCTGCCTGCTGGTACTGTTGCCAGCTCTTGGCAATGAATCCAGTTTCTGAAGAAGCTCCCAGCACGTGGAACGAAATGGTACAGCCCGAACACCACACATCGTATTGCCAAACAGCACAAGGGCAAACCCTACGCAGGAGTAATTTAATCATCAATATGGAAATACCACTTTCCTACGGCACGGGTCAGTCTGTCCACGGGTGGGACAGACACAGCAGCCGTCACGGCGAGCAACACGCGGCACAACCGAACCACACCAGAGCTGAACGATGACGAATGCCCTGCCGGGACGAAACGGCGTGAGGGTGATCCGTTACTTTCCGCTAACGAAGGAGGCGCGGGGAAGCATCCGGGCCGTCCCCCTGCGGAGACGCGGGGCGTCACGCGGCGCCACGCTGCCCACCGCCGTCTTGCCGCGTCCGGGTCGGGGGGGGGGGGCTCATGGCCACGGGAAGCGAGCGCCCCGCCACGTGAGCCTAACCCTTGCTGCCCCGCGGCAGGGGTCAGGTTATGAGTCCGGCGGCAAGGCCATCAGTCAATTTAGCAGAAGCACGAACAGCATGGATCCGGTAAATTGATCCAAGGTCGAGCGAGCACAATGCGGGGACGCCCGTGATTTTTCTTTTTTTTCCGTCATTAAACGTCTTATATTCTCTTAATGCTGAAATGGCTATGAAGGCAAAAACTGCCGAATGCATCATTGTTTCTCTTAAATATTTTGTTTACCACCTGCAAATGTATTAGAGGAAGAGCTGCATCTTGTTATGTGGTGGTATGGAAGATGGAGGCAGGTGTGTTTTGCAGTGGTTTGTACGTTGGGTAGAATTATTGCACGTATTATTTGTATCCGCAGGAATGTTGCATGCTTCTTCCGGTGTCAATAGCATATCATTTCATTGGTTCAATTTGTGACGTACAGTAGTTGATGAATTTTTAAAAATTCATGTTCACATTTGTTTCTCTTTGTTCCCTTTTAAAGAGGTTTGTTAAGTAATCGCGATGTCTTGGAAGCCAAGAAAAACTGAGCTGAGTCAGTTCTTAGATGGGAGACTGCCAGGGAACAGCAGGTGTTGACCTGAGCTAGCAGATGGCCAGGAGAGAGCAGCAGTACTGCAATAGGTTTAAACAGAAATTTCGCTAAGCTATGTCACCTCCTCATGTTCGTGGGTTTTATCTGGGTAATGCAGTTTCCTCGCAAAAGCCAAACACTCTTTAATGGAATAATCAGACATCCCGATGGCAGGGCCCTCCTGCAAAAGAGTCTTGAGACTCGATGAGGCTTGCACAATTCTAAATGAACTCTCAGCATTCATGGTACCACTGTGTTCCTCACGCAGTCAAGGGTCACTAAGACAGAGCACTCAACTCAATGTTGTGGGTTCAATTGAGGTTGCGAGGTAGGGAGGGGGTGGAAGTACATCAAATGGGTTCGTTTGTGGTCAGTGCAAGGTAGGTAAGTGGACACTGTTCTTGCCAATGGGAATGTGGCATCTTCACCACTCACTCGGAGCAAATGCTTTTTTTTTCAGGGAGATATTTATGAAACCCACGCCTTTCCATTGCTGTTACTGTTGCTGCAAAAGAGACGCATCTCAGTCTTGGTGGGCTCTCGCCCCTGTGCTTGGATGAAGTGACTCGGTGGCTGAGCACAGCTGATTCTCTCCCTACAGTCGTACGACCCTGGCCTGTTCGCGTCACTCGACCGGGCCATGGAGGCAGCTGAGTGCGTCCGTCGGAGAACCAAGAAGCTGTCGCGAGCCCTCCGCTCAGACGTGGCCCATGCCGGAGAGTTCTACAACGCCCTGGTGTAGCGCCACCGCTCTGGACCATCTCCATCTCCCTGGGAGTCTCCTTGGCTGTGATGCTGTCGCGCAATGGAAAGCCGGTTCTGGTCACACGCAGCGCACTTGCTGACACCTTGTTTCCGTGACCATTGGGAAGCAGGCTTTGCTGGTACAGGGTTTGGGTTAGTAAGTGGCTCGTATCAGCAAGGACAGAGTCAAACCTCAAAAATTTAGACTCGAGTAAGCTGGGGGGCTTTTCCGAGATCATTAAACAACCCTCCAGGAATTTGGGAATCTGTTCTCTTGGATACCGCGTGATGTTTTTACGTTGATTTTAGGTTTAATTTACAAATAAAATAAGTGTTTCGAGCCCGTCAGAAATCTATTCGGCCTTCCAAGTCCAGTGAAGCTCAGCCGTCATCCGATGCTTTATGGTGATGTAAATTCGCTCAGACTACACTATATGGTAGAGATTTTAAAAAAATTGTAAAATGTAAACGGTAAATATTTAGTAAATTGTTATGAAGTATGAATGAAATATCTTGGAGTTTAATTACGTGTAAATGTAATGATATTTACATGAAAGTAAAATTCAGCATTTTTTTAAATTATTGAATGAGTTACAGTATGCAGAACATCATCCCCCAGAATGGGAAATGTTCTCCCCAAAATTGTTCTGCCTTCTCGAGGCTTTACTGTAGTCCAGGGCCATCGGTCACCGTACGCGATGAACTATTAGGGTCCAAGGTCTCAGCCCATAAACCCTCTCTCTCTGCGGCTCTCCACCCACCATGAGCAGTGCGGGGAGGGGGGGGGTTAGGTTTGACCACGCTCATTTAACATTTGTTGGTTTTGTAATTTTTCCCACCATGCTTTTTATTGAACAAGTCACCTCCCTCGCTTCCATGTCGACTCCACGACGGCACGTGATGGCCCAGGTAATAAGCACGTGCAGCTCGGTTGCAGATGGGAGCTGAGAATCACTATTTTTTTAACTAACGGGGGATCGGTTTGGACAGGATGAGATATTGTGGGAACGTGTGTTCTCTGCTCTGGCCGTGGTTCCAGCATAAACACAGCAGGATTTCCACTGGCTGTGGAAGCAATGCCTAGAGCTTGCAGCACCCTTCGCAGCTCTGTTGCACCACCGGTGCATTCGCTTCAATATTCATAATGTCGACGTTATCATGCAGTGTCTTAAAACCTGAGCATGCCTGTTCTTATATACAACAAATACGCCTTGATTAGCCTTACGACTGACAGTGCAAGTGCTGTTAGCAAGTGCCTATTATTGCCAGCATGGCAATGAGGAAATAGTTTGGCCTCTTACCTCCAGCCACCTCTGTCTCTCCAGTGCTGCCTTCAGCTCTACTGATCCTATCGGGTAGGAATTTTAGGCTCAGCAGACCTCGGAGAGGACGAGGCAAAGTTCCGACATCACTTTCTTACGAATGTGCATGGCAAGGAATGTAACCCAGGGCACCCGTGATTGTGGCACAATGAGCTAAACATCGCATCACCACTCTTCAATGAAACACATTTATATAAAAAATAAGTACACGTGCATATACATTTGAACATCACATATCCAACTGAGACGTAGGTGGATCTGTGAAAAGGTTGAATATGTGAGCGTCTGTGGGAAATCACAGTTATGTCATGTAAAATACACTGCACCGGGCGTGGGCGAGGTTGGATATGCTTCGTTGTAATGCATATAAATAATACACCAGCTTGCTCATATTGCTTGTAATGCAGACGATATATGCAAGCTCTTATGCAGTGGCCTTACAGAAGCTTTTTTTGTTGCTGGAAATGAGATTTGGTTTTTGTTATGTTTTGCAAAGAGGCCTTCATTCGCAATGTATCCGTGAACATGTAACACATGCTGCATGTATTCTTAAACAATGCAGAGTGATTTCAAATCAAAATCCACAGCATTAGACCTCACAAGCTTCAAGGTGTGGCTGTAGGTGTCTCACCTGTAAGTTGTTCAGGATTAGTTTTGTATTTATATCAAAGTTTTTGACGTAGATCCATATAAAATGTAGCATATGCATAGCAAATAGCTACGTATACATTATATAAACAATGAGAGTCAAAGTCTCTTGATTTACATATTCACTTTCTCATGTTTGAGTTGCTTTCAAAGTGAACTAATATCATTGGTACACGCATCTGTCTTCTAGGAATGTTCGTGTAATCAGTGCTCCAGAAATTGCATCAGCTGCTTATTTTCTTCACGGTGAAGTCAAAGATGTAATCACGGAGTGTTTCTCCCCAGCTAAGATCAAACAAATCGGTGCATTGCTGAGATAAAAAATATTATTGACAATGTGATGTTTTTATATTTTTAAAGCTGTGTTAATCGAGCAGAGTTTTTATTACTGCTTGAGATAGATTACAATGTTGTGTGTGTGTGTGTTGAAGGAAATACGCAATTTGTACAGTATATGTTTACCTCATCACTTTGGTACGCATTCAATTGGATTTTGTTTTTGCTATTACAACAGCGCTGAATCAAATGTTTATTCATACACTTGTGTGTTTTTATTGTGTGTCTACATATGACAAGGTGCCACACTCTAAACTCTGCTGTTTGTAGTTTAGATCAGGGGTCGGCAACCAAAATAACAAGAAGAGCCATTAAAAAAAAAGAAATCGGTAAAAAAAAAATCAATTTTTCAAGAGCCGCAAAGCACGCGGTGAATACGAGACGGCGGTGCTCCTTGATAAACGACGTCACGAAGCAGTCCTTAAAGAGCCGCACGCGGCTCCGGAGCCGCAGATTGCCGACCACTGACTTAGATGAATGGACTCCTGTCTGTGACATCACGCTGCATAACGTAGGTCGATGAACATCCCAGAATTCACTGATGGCATCTAGACGATTCAAATCGGTCTCTGGACGATTCAAATCGGTCGAGATCGGCCAGTGTTTCTCAACTCAAGTCTTCACAACCATCAAACTGCACAGCTGTCCTTGATTACCAACCATCAGGTGCATGCAGTGTGCAGTGGGCTCAATTTGCATATAGATATAAAATATTGGTAAATCGGGAAAAGGCTGATAGAGTGCATGGTGGCAAGGGCTGGAATTTGAGAAAAGGTGGTCGAAAAGTGCCCTGGCTCTTGGTCCAAAAACCCATTGGTTGATGGACTGTGACAACATTCTTATTTCATCATTAGACCTCCTTTGCCAGTACCAAAATATAATAATAGGGTTTTCCCCCTTTTTTCTGGCAACAAAACTGAAAACCTTTTTAGAAGGATTCAAGTCTGCATTAACCACAATACCTGCAGTCGAAATGCAAACAAAAAACACACTCTGATAATATATGCATTGTCCCTGAAACTGATTGGTCCACACAAAGGGACGGCTTTCTTTTAATATAACATTCTTATTCATTGAAAAGGACAATTCTTTTGTTTCCCACACTTCTCTGCAAAAATCCCATGAGTTGTATAGCTACTTGATGTACAGCCTTGAAAGGTGAGGGAGGTAATTTATAAGATATTCATTTTAATAACACGCAAAGCTATTTCAAGTACTTGCATTTACATGGGCCTTCCCAACAGGTTAGAAATGCAAAGGTCACGCGGTGGATTGATCTGCTTTATGAATGTAATTGCAAGCCACTAAAATTGCAAGCCACTAAAAAGGTAACTAATAGACTTTGAGCATATTTAAATAAAAACACATATATGTTTCCAATGACTTGTTAAAAATACAATGTGTATGTTTTGCCTTAATATGTTTTGACACTTTTCCTCCTGTATTTAAAATTATGGCACAAGTGAACTGTTGTTTTAATTTAACATTTTAAAATTAATCGTGATGGTTTTGCTACGATCAAATATGTAAACACATTTTTCGTTGAGATTTTTTTAAGCATATATTTTTAAACTGTAAGAGATATATATATAATACTATACAAAAAATAAAACTTAAACCTCACACGATTGTCCTCTTAATGTTCACCGTACAAGCCTAATGTCATTGTATTTGTGTGTGCACAATATTTGGTTTTCAGGAAACAAAGTTCAATAATGTGTGTTTCCCCCCCCCCCCCCAGCTCCGATTAGCACGGTTGGCTGTGTACGGTGCGAAAGAATTTCAGCATACACGCATTTCTGCACATGCATACATTAGTTGTACAGCATTGAGTGTTGGTTTACTTGTAATTTGACCACATTCGAAAATATTTAGCATTCCTAAAAATGACATTATGTCGGTTAAAACATTTTGCGATACTCATGTTGATTTTCTCAATCCAAACGACGAGCTCTTCATCATGCTGGCGTTGTTAACATTATTACTACTTATAATGGGACTTGGTGGCAAATTTCCAGTTTCCACTGCTGCAGTGGTGGACCCACACCTAAAAGGGGGCAATATCACAGTCTGATAAGCTCTCCAACCCCCCCTCTCCACCTCCCTTCAACTTGCTTATAAGGGATTACATCTTGAATCATTGCTTCACTTGATGCAGCTAATTCGGCTGTGACGGTCCCACCTGATGACGGAGACTTGTGTTGCCTCCGAAACGTCGTGATTTTTATTTTTATTTTATTTTTATTTTAATGTTTTACTTACGTGACTTAACCGAAAAAACCTAAGAATATGAATCTTTGCAGTCACGAAAGCTTCAAATCTAGAATTAATACCAGCGTGTTGTTAATTCTCTCCATCAGCACGACGCGATTTAGAAACCAGAACTTGAAACCCCGATCGGTCCAGCACCAAACACGACGGGGAAAGAGCGAAATGCTCCAACATCGGTGTGCTGTCGGAACTCACACCGATGTTTCATTAATACACGTTTATCTTATCATAAGAGTGCTTGTTTACCCAACCGTTTGCAGTCTGGGCTGATTTTGTGGTGTCATCCCCATTGAGTGGTTTGCAGGGCAGTTTTATTTGTTGAAATTAGGGATATTTGGCCAATGCGGGTCACTCCATTAGGCAACGTTTTTTCTGCAGCTACTTTTTTTCTTTGCCAAGACACGAGACATTCCGTTGCATTCCTCATTCCAAGCCAAATTGCTGCAGGTACTGCAGACGCGTGCGTATGGTTAATTCATGCTCGCTATCCAAGTGGAGTTTGAAGCACACAAGCCTCTGATGTATTTTTAGATGGTAAACAAGAGCCATCTCGGCCAGGCAGTTGTGCTTTGATGGTCAACGTTTACGTCTGAGAGGCATCCGCAAAATACAAAGAAAACATCCCCCGTCAATTTTATAGCAAACACAAAAACGCATGGTTTACGGTGTAATAAAATAAATAATTCTGTACATACAGCTCTCTGTCAATTCACTGCTGAATGAATGCCTCCTGACAATGCGTCGACGATAGGTGATGTTTAACCATACTTCACCACACTGGGCAGTGTGGGTTGGTGAAGGGATGGCCAGGACTGCTGCAGACTCTTCACTCACTGATGTTAGCTATGGCCGGGAAATTTCGATTGAAAGCTTAAATATACGCTCCAAGCGTGGTGGTGTTTCATTCAGACGCTGTCTCCCCAACAGACCTGGTCTTTACCTGAGGACGGCTGCTTGCGTTGTGGCCGAAACGTCGTGAGAATTATTTTATTATGTTCTATTGTTATTATTTTATTACTTCCCTTCTACGTGACTTTACCGAAAGAACCAAGAAGCTATGGCCGGGAATTTAACGCAGGCCGCCGGGTTTACAAAGCAATGCGCTAACCATTGCACCGACGCTCCACCCCATGGAAGAACATCGTGTTTCCAGATGCCGTCGCACGTACAAAGAATAATCCAGGCAGATCTGATTCTGTCTGAATGGTAACATGTTGTCAAGTCGGTTACTTGCAAATTAGGAAATTCACCCCATCGTTAAGATGGGCCAGCACTCGCATGCTATTCAATAAGCCAAAATGTCCCAGGAAAAACACACACACACACACACTTTGAGATTTTTCTGGATAATGAAAGCATTATTTTCTACTGCGGTACATAAACATTCATGGTGATGATATTTAAACAAAATAATGAACACTTCCTGCCACGGGTTTAAATTAGATTGTTCAAGGTACCCCCCCCCCATCACCCCCCCCCCCCCCCCCCCCAATAATGTAAGGAAATTCAATGCGGTGGAGGATTAAGGGTCACGGTGAAGTGGTACGGGTGTAGAATTTCTCCAGGTGCAATGCCATCACAGCGATGCTTACAAAGGGTGGCGGCTCGAACCCCCCCCCACCTCCCCCTAATGCGCCGCTGGAGGGTGGTGTTGATTTCACCACTCGCTGCTGAGCACACAGCTTTAGCTTTGCTTCTATGTCATGCAGCACTTGTGAAAATAATAACATACTTAATAATACATGGAGGAACAAGGGCTGATGGAGGCGCGGAAGGGGGTGTGCTGTGATGGTGCAGCGAGGGCGGAAGCCACGGCGTCTGGCAGGTAGGGTAGCAGTTGAGAGTGGTGGGCTTGAGGGGTGGTAGTGGGAGTAAGGAGACGTGGGGGGGGATGATTGGGGGGGGGGGGGGGTTATCGCTTATCAGTGGAAGGGCAAGCAGGAGCAAAGCCAGAATGTCAATAAAGATCAGAGCAGATTAATGCACCTTGATGGCATCCAGACAGTGTACAGGACAGTGAATTTCGGAACACTTTGCTTTCCTACACAGTAATTACTGCATTTCCAAATGATACCTGCACCACCAACACACCCCCCATTGCATATCAGGAGTGAATTGCAGAAGTAGAGGTACTGGGTTTTAAACCAGCAGGCGCTCAATGTGTTGACATTTAAATGTTTCATTTGGTAAACAAGCTGTACTTAACGTTTGCGAATTTTCAGGTAACAAAAATATTGAAAATTAGTTTGCACGAAAGTTTAAACTTTGCGGGAGGATTATTCGTCGAGGTGATGGTTAGGAGGTGATGCTACGGGGTTGGATAATCAATTAAAAGACAAGCTGAATCCCAAAGTGATGCTAAAGGTTATGGGAATTATAATCAATCACAATAACACTGCTAAGTAGAGTTTTGCAGTTGTGCTGTATACCTCTCCGATGTATTTTCATTTTGCACCGTATTTTGTTCAGCATAAAGTCCGATATTTCGGCTCACGTACTGGGAGTTCCATCAGGAACTGAATGGAGTAGCTCATGTCCTCCCTCAAATGTATCGGGTTGCGGGCTGATGCTGTTGTTTTCTCTAGACTACCCCGTGTTGTTTCAAACATTTTCCATGTCTGGGATTGAGCCAGAGTGCCTGGAGAAAGTGCATCACTCTGTCCATGTCCGACGCCCGCTGGTCACTCAGTTAATATTAACAATTATAAATTGTTAATATTAACAATTAGAAATTGTTAATATTAACAATTAGAAATTGTTAATATTAACAATTAGAAATTGTTAATATTAACAATTAGAAATTGTTAATATTAACAATTAGAAATTGTTAATATTAACAATTAGAAATTGTTAATATTAACAATTAGAAATTGTTAATATTAACAATTAGAAATTGTTAATATTAACAATTAGAAATTGTTAATATTAACAATTAGAAATTGTTAATATTAACAATTAGAAATTGTTAATATTAACAATTAGAAATTGTTAATATTAACAATTAGAAATTGTTAATATTAACAATTAGAAATTGTTAATATTAACAATAACAATTAGAAATTGTTAATATTAACAATTAGAAATTGTTAATATTAACAATTAGAAATTGTTAATATTAACAATTAGAAATTGTTAATATTAACAATTAGAAATTGTTAATATTAACAATTAGAAATCGTTAATATTAACAATTAGAAATTGTATGTGCATTGAACTTCTTTCGCATCGTACGTCGCCAACTGTGCTAATCGGAGGTGAGGGGGAAGGACAATAAACTAAACACAAAACTGCAGTTCGTAAGAAATTAGTTTTCAATCTACATTTAAAACTGCACAGATCCAGTGGATTCCAAATGTTGGAAGAGCTTAGCAGGCGGACGCAGAAGCGCATCTGAAAAACGTGCCATGCGGTGACCGTCTTTGTCCGGTGGCTGAGTCCAAAGGCCGTTGTTGGAAGGACGAGCGGAGTTCGCGTGCTGGTTTATGCTCCTTGACGAGATCAAATAAATCTGCAGACGTGGTGAACATGGGATTTATAAAGCAACATTAATCTTGCTGCAATATTCAAAGTTCATCATAAGTGCTAGTAACCAGTAAAAGTAGGAATTACTATGCCATTATGGCTAGCTGCTACTGTGGATGAGCAATCAGCTCACCATCAATTCATATTCCCGTTGGGGAGCGATTCATTAGAATGAGCTTACCTGAGTTTTATGGATCCGAGTTTGAGTCTATAAACTATTTTTATTTTACCAGGTAAGGTCCATTGAGCTATATAGCTCTTTTTCAGAAGCGACATGCCCACAATTGATAGCTCAAAAAGTGGCTTATCATGTGAACATTTATAGTAGACAATAGTATAAACGCATCTTGATTCTACATTTGGAGGGAAAAACTGGAGGGCCCGGAGAAATATCCACACGACCACGGGGAGAACATGCGAAACCCCAAATATGCAGGCATCAGGTTCGGGCTCGAACCCACGACCTACCGCATACCAGGCGAGGTAGTTAACATCTTCCCAACCTTGGCACCACAAATTTTTTTTTAATCATGAATCCGAAGACCTCTTGAGATAGTTGAGTCATCATTGTACTTCGCTTCTACGTTATTGCTGTTGTCATTGTCGTGACATAGGAGTCACCACCTTGTTCGACAATTTAAACTTGAAACTTGCGCTTTTGCTTAGGTCGCATGCGACCTGCATCACCAATGCCCTCCGTGCCCTCCAAACTAGAATTGTGTTTTTTTTGGGACGGTCACCCACTGCCTGTTTATAGGCACTCTCCACCCCTCACTCGCCCGCTCGCACACACACACACACACAAAAACCCCGCCGATCACCTTTGAATGTGAGCCCTGGGGAAAGTTGGGGAGGGCTTTGTGGAACTCGGGCTTCAGACCCATTATCAGACCGGGTGCACACATCCTGTGGAGGCGGGCGATCAATGA